ACACTGAGCGTCCACACTCCGCCGATGTTTTCAAGGCCCGAAAACGGAGGATGTGTCTGGCGATGCTGACCTTGTTGTCTTTACTAGCAGCTGTTGTTCAGTAAAAGTCTGCATTATTACGGAGGAAGAGGCTGTTAATGGAGCGATCAGTGACCAGCGTGACCAGCGGCGTTATCAGCCCTACGGAGCGGACGTCTGAAGTCATGGTTAGCAGTAAATGCTATTCAGTAGGACAGATAGTTAAGCCACCAGCAGAGCAACACCGAGGAAACAACACCGATGAAACGAGTGAGAGACGTGTGTTGACCACATTTATGGACCCATAATCTAGTAAACTGTTACGTGTAAGTGTTGATTTTAAAGTAAATTTAATATGTGTGAGAGAGATATAGAGCAAGACCTGCAGCACTGTAACTAAGTCTGAAAAATAAAACTTTCCACGAACTGTCTCTTTGAGTTTATAGAGGAAGATTTTAGAGAAGATCTTAAGTATCAAACACAACTTTATTACTGTATTTTTTTTAACTAAGCAACCAATCTACTTCCTGTTCACATCGACACCCACGCGCATGCCCAGTGTACGTGAAGAGTCACCTGATATTTGTTTGCAGGCGTGTTAGTATGGACGGAGATTAATTCGAAAACGATGCTGAAACGCCGTGTGGACGGAGTAGTATGGATGTAGCCTAAGTATACCCACTGCATCATTTGGAAAAATGCAAAAGGAAAACTGGTCAAGGGGCTATGAAATTAAACCACGCCCACTGCCGTATGACCAAAGCCTGGATGAAGGGCCAACAAATATGACAGCCAGAGTTGTTGTCGGCTAGCTACCACAGCTTGGAAAATTGCGATTTGGCATGGGGCTCTGAATTTGATGGATTTACCGTTTATCAGACCACAAATGAGACAACAATTACACCCATGGTCCCTCGAGCTCATCCCCCATCTACTTTGTCGGGAGGAGAGAGGGCGGCAGCTTCGGCAACAGTCTGTCGCGGCTGTAGTAACTCGATTTCAGCCAGCGCAAACCCTGGTGCCTCCGTCTCCGGAGTGGCCGTCTGCTCCCCTACCGGCTGTAGTGTCCTAGCGGCGAGGAGGAGGGGGGTTTGGCCCTTTAGGATTAGGACTGATTTCAAACAGTAGATGGCGTTTTGAGCCATTGATGTGTTTCATTGCTCAGGTTGATGTTCGGTGGGGCTATGTTTGTACTGGGAATTACATCACCTCAATGTACCAATAAGAATGACAGGTGTTTTGTCTGTGAAATTTCAGACACTTATAAACCATCATTTTATGTCATCATTGCCCGGGCGTAGACTTGCACAACTGTAATTTTCGCATTTATAAATTGAATGGTTAGATTGTTCGAAGAAAGACATGTACATTTACAGACAGTTTTTGAGAAAAAGGGAAGGACAGGAACAAAGCCAGGGGCATGTCTCTCAAGCTTAGTCTGCACATAATTAGGCTTAATCAGTGAACACACCTGCGTAGGTTGACTTTGGGGGTGTGTGTTTAATTAGCATGCACTTTGTCCGTATAATTGCAGCACATTCACTCACTTGCAGGTTCATTAAGGATAAAATGTTCTGGTTTCGATGAAAAGGTTTTAGGTAGGTGTCACATTACAGAATCCATTTTTTGGTATATTTAAAACTCCCCCCCAATTAAGGCACTGTAGGCCTACTATAGAGCAGAGTCTATCTATTGTTTTTAATTAAAGTGACAGTGTTACTCTCAAATCAAGGAGGGAGGAATTTGGCAACGAAAGGCGTTTCTGACCGTTGTATGAAATCGTTCACAATTACAGTACACAAAGACACGGCTCCTGGCTGTCTCACAGACACGTACATCAGAAACACACACACACACACACACATATGGACATTGACAGATATGCACACGCCCACACAGTAATTTAGGGTAATTGCAAATAACAAGCCTTCTGCTCTGACATCCAACCTCTATCAATTAAACATCAAATATTCTCCCAAACAGTTTTGCTGCCAAACACATTCTTCATTCCTTTCATCCCAAAAGCTGAAACTCAACCCAGTTAACATGCCAGTGGAGAGCGAGCAAGCGAGAGGGAGAGAGCGAGACAGGGGAATCAAAGCATGTTAATCAAGCCCTAGAGTGCAGTATGCTGTGTGTGTGTGTGTGTGTGTGTGTGTGTGTGTGTGTGAGTGTGTGTGTGAGTGTGTGTTTAAGAGAGACAGTATACAAGGAAGCAAAAGAGAGCCGGAGTAGATGTGCATGTAATAATTTTTATTCTTGAACCCCCACCTCGTGATTTCCCCCTTTCTCCAGCCAAGGTTTCTCCCTCTCCATGTCAGTGTCTATAATGCACTCTGACAACACACAAATCACTGGAGAGGTTTCCCAGCAACAGGAGGGAGGGTTTAGGGTTTTGGACCCTGATGGAGCCAAAAATGTCTTCCAGGAGCGGAAATTGATTCAGTGGAAGTCTTAAAAAAAATCCTTCGGATCCAGTCAATAATCACCACCAGATAAAACGAGGAAGACAGGGTGTGGGGGTTGGGGGGGAGCATTGATTATCCTTGTTTTCTGCTGGCCAGTACACACAGCCAGTAAAATCAAGAGCTGGTAAACAGCCAACAAAACAGCATGACAGTCTGATTAAAGACAGTGGTGCTTTAGGCTTGTGGTCAGAAATCAAAGTGTCCCCTCTCATCTATCCCTACTCTTCCCTCTCCCAGTAGGAACCATGTTTTCCTCCCCCAACCACTCCCTCAAACACTCATTCATTTCTCTCTAACTCCCCCCTGTGGCCGCTAATGGCCATGGCAGCTCTTATAGCTGTAAAATAATGCTCAATCGGTAAATGTGAACCATAACAGACTACAACTATTAATGTCCTCCATGAGGTACCGCTTTACAAAAAGGCATACTTACAGGGTTTATTGATTGAAGTAATGACTTGCTGTTAGTTAGTATTCATCATTTGCAAACTTGTAATAATCAATTTATGGTGTAAAATATGGTGTTGGCACATCATGAACACAATGGTTAATAAACAATCATAACAAACAATTATGTGCCTCATAAACTGGCAACCTTTTAGTTCATTCGCGCCTGTCAACTGGTAGGGCTCCACCAAATTTAAATATGACCTGATCTTACATCGTGTAAAAATAGTGTTCTGTATATCTAAAGTTATTCAAGCTATTCAATATGAACAGGATTTCATATTAAGAAGAACTGTTAGAAGCCTACATTCAAACCGTCCTGATACTAAACTACATGTAAATACAGTAGGCTATAATTCAGATATGCTTCAGTTAATTTGACATGCAACATTGCTATACGCTTTCAACTGCAGTAAACATAATGTGTGAGCCTGTAGTTACTTACAAGTTGAACTACATACATGGGAATTAGGCAGACATGTTTGCACACTAGGCCTGAGGATAAATTGTCAATCACCCGTAGAGCTGTAGGCGAAACTAAAGAGTAAAAACGCACGAACGCACGCACGCATGCATATGCACGCACGCACGCATAGTTTACAGAACAAACACACCAGTTAAATTAGCATCAGCTAATGTACCTTTTCTCTGCCGCTATTTCTTGGGCCACGAAGCTCCAGCTGCAGCTCCAGTCAGGTGAAACCCCCCAAAGTGTCACAGTGTTTGTATGAACTTTATAATATTGTCAATGAACAAACCAACCCCCGGTTTAGACATATTGGAAATGGCCTTAGGCCTACCCAGTAATGGGACCCGTCACCTTAAACTCTCGCGAGACAGGAGGGGCGCCTCCACAGGTGTCGCGCGAGTTTCGAGCACGGGCCGACGTGCAGACTCATTAAAAAAAAAAAAAAACCTTAAATGATGCCAGTGTAAAATATAAGAACATTGGACCTTGTTAAGCCAAAGAAGCATTTAAATGACCCGTATGTTTAATAACTGGAATTCATAATTATCAATCTGGGTTTTGGAAACACGTTTTTCATCAATAAATAAGATTATTGATTATTAATTATTATTTTAGGCCTATGTTTTGGAAGCATTTTTTCCCCTAGGATGGCAAAGTCATAAGCCTCCTTACACTGCCTCTGATTGGCTAGTACTCGTTGCCTTCGTTGTTTGGGTTGACTAGGTTTAGGCATAATGAGTTCAGGGTTAGGTTCAGAATATCAGGGTGAGGCAATCAGAGGCAAAAAACCATCCGAAAAAAAACATTGGTGTTGAGAAGACACAAATGCCTACATCCATGGATTAGGCCCACAATGACAGGCGTCACATTGTGCACAAACAAATGAACATGGCACAAGTTTTCTCATGTCTTGTTAAAAATCTTGTTTTGTATCTTAACTCCTCAACACTGTTGGAATATAGTCTACATAATTCATACAAAGTTGTGTATTTCTAAAGGCCTGCTTAATATGCCTCTTTACGTTTACAACAAGCAAAAATATGTACGTTGTTTTTCAAATTCACATATATGCATTTATGTGTATTTTCCTTGTTCTCCCCTGTACTAATACTGATAATGAATTAATCAACTCTTTTGGTGATGCACCTGGCATTACAGAAATCCTCCCTTTGTACATGGAGTGTCCTGAAAGCTTTATACTTTTGGATTTGTCAAACTGAACCTTTCCAACTTCCACTGCTTTAGACTTCATGCTCTAGTTTGTGAAAGCACACATTGTAAAACATCTTCATCTGGTTTAAGAGAATGTACGTTTTTGTGTAAAAATATTTTAAAAGTATATCATGAGATGTGAAAACGTAAAATCAACTTTAAGTAAATTGAACTTGAAAAAAAGTTAAATTAACTTATTAACTTCCAGTGACTTTGATCAATTACGATAATGTATATGAGGCAAGTGACTCAATTTAATACTAACTAAACTCATTGTAGATAGTATTGCTTTCATTATTAACTCAAAAGACTTAAATAAATTCCTAAAAAATATTTATTGTGTACAATGAGACATATTAGAAACAAACAAACAAAAAATAAACAAAACGAACCGTTACATAATCTGCCAACAAAACGGACGTCATTAGTTTTTGAAAAGCTGACAGCTGACTTCAAGCTGACTTTGGGCAGCTCCATGAAGAACAAAACGAGGACAAGAAGAGAGGACAAAGAATAACTGCAGTAACATCTCTGTCATGAACCTGACACATGCAATACAGACCTCTAGACTCTCAACTGACCATAATCAAAAGCCCTGCAGTTGCGTTAAACTCTGTGATGGTGCAAACTATTGTGCAAGAACAGATATGGCGACTGAATTGTTGACCAGTGTGTTACAATACAACTTCTTTTCCTCCTCATAAGAATGAATCCTGTCTCATACTAAATACAAAACATAAAAGCATTCTGATCAAGCACAAGAGATGACAAATCCAGAGCTTTAAAGGAAAATCCCTCATAGTGGGAAATGATCTACAACAAAGTGTAGATATACAGACAAGTCATTACAGTATAAATGCTTGTGTTTCTAGGGGACACCTCACACCAGTGTTTGCTTTAAACAAATGCCTCAAAAAGGGAGGCAACACAGAGAAGAACATGTTTTCATGATCAGGTTACAGTCAATAACGCTACAGATTCATACACTTTAAAAGCACAATATACAGTACTTTCTAAGAGTCCTATCACCCAGTTACTTATCAGTATCATAGATACATACTCATGTTTACAAAAATATGAATTGTAAAGCTGAATTTATTCTCAAGATCATGTTATGAAAAAAGCCCCTTTAGCAGTTCCTATTATTTTAATATTTGATGCATTTCCTCTCTGCTCTATCCTCTGCTTTACCACAGGTCAGGCTCCACCCAGACAATCTTCTTCTGCTCCTCCCAGATGACGGTGCGCAGGTTGGTCAGCAGGGAGGTCTGGTCACACCAGGAGTCCTGAGCCACGCTGTGATACAGACAGGGCAGCTTGTCCAGCAGCGGCTCCTCGCTCCTCGAGCACGCCAACAGCTGCTCCTCCGACTGGCTGTGGCGCTGCAGCTTTGACCTGGGAATGTAGGAGGAATGAACGAAATACATAAAGATGAGATAAAGATAATTTCTTATCTATTTTTACAATGTGACAATATATTTCTTTCAAGCTACAATTGAGTTAAGCTATTCTGTTCTCTAAAATGTCAACATTGAACATCAGGTTATGACGTCAGTCCCTGAGAATCAGAGGGAACAGGTTTCGCTGGGCACATAGTTTGAGTTGTCAACTACGGGAATTGAAGAGGTAGACATACCAGTTATTCCAGAGACAGAACACATTGTAGCCACAGGAGGACACACAACTATTTGTAACTATTTTTTTTGCTTCAGTGGAAACACTGAAGGCTGGTCACAAGACGTTTAAGCCTGTTTGTTCAGGAAGTTAAATATCATCAAGGAAACGTAGGATGGAAGTAAATGACAATGTCACTACTGGAAGACCCTGATGATATCTAACAGTGCATTCCAAGGCTATGGCAGATGTAAGTGAGTTCATCAAGTTTCACCCAAGTCAACATTTACGTGCTTATTGTGATCATCTGAATGTGATAAAAGAGTCATGAGCAACAAGGTGAGCCCTGTCAGCATTTGTAAAAAGAAGAAGAAGAAGAAGAAGAAGAAGAAGAAGAAGAAGAAGAAGAAGGACGGTTTACCTCAGCTTCCGTGCACTACGTGCAGACTGGCCAATGAAGATGATGATAGGGAAGATCTTGGCCCGGTGCAGCCGACGCACACAGTCCAGCCCCAACGGCAGCACACAGTGAATCCCCTGTAGGGTGAGGAGATGAATACATGCAATATGAATTTACTAAATAAACAACATGCTGTACTGCAGAAGAGGGTCATGCCTTATGAGCTTGTTGCTGCAGATTTATGAAAGTCATGGATTACAGTCTGGACTAAATTGGTGAAACAAACACGTATTCAACACTTACATCCCTTGAGCCCCACCACTTGTGTGGCAAAAACATTTTTTTTTTGCTTAAAATGACTTGAAACTAAACTCCCCGTCAACCCCATTCTTCACTTTTTGAGGTACCAACCTCGAATGAAACTATCCAAATATAAGATCACTTCTGTGTTTTGAATGTTCTGACCTTCTTCATGACTTTCTGGACACTCTGCAGGGTGTAGCAGCAGCTTCTTCCCTGCTCACACTCCTCCAGGATCTCAGACCTCTGCAGCTGGGCTGCATGCTCGCTGGAGCTCAGCACCTCTATAAAGCAGATATGTGGGGAGGGAGGGAGATGGGGAATCAAAAAGGTAAGGCATGAAGTGATGATATATGTCATATGATAAGATCATGAAAGAATTATATTTTCATCACTATAGATCAAACTTTACATGAAGACATGGCATCTTTACCTTTAGTAGTGAGATTATCTTTAATTCATATTGTGCACTATCTGAAACCTTTATCATTTTCTGCAGCATGTCGTGTCTTTTTGTTCTTTAAATACACTAGTCCTTGCAATGATTAAAAACTTCCCACAAAGATCATTACATTTTCATTTCACCTTATCATTGCAGGGAATACTGGCAAACATGTACTGTCTTTATAGCCTATGTCATTCTTATCACTATTTATTCACAAAGTTTATTTCCTTCCTGGTTTGCAGCAACAGACAAACATGTGATCTGTCAAGTCAAACAGACCACTTTTCCTGTGTCAGCACAGGAAAAGTGCTTCCCTCCTCTCTATCTAAAATCTTCAATGACAAATGCTCCAGCGGAAACAGATTATGAAATATAAATGCAATGCGTACAACAACACTATATTTCTCACCAGACTCACAGAGCTGGAAGCCCTGCCAGTCTGCCATCTTCTTGTTCAGGATGTGTCCCAGGATGGTGGGCAGCAGCAGGACAGGCCTGCAGACGGGTGGGAAGTGTGGTGTGACCGGGCTGTAGGGCATGAGGGTTAAACAACTTCTGGGTGCAGATGTATCCCCTATATACGAAAGAATTTAAAGAAAAAGGTTAAATGTTTTCATTAAAAAACATCCAGAAATGTTCAGCAAACCGCAGATTCAAGAAGCAATAAAGCAAGATATTGTACTTCTGTGTCTTTGCTGCTGCTGAAGGCTACTGTACCTGATTCTGCGCTCTTGGTGTTTTCCTCCTCCACACTGACCCACAGTGGGTTCCTACCCTGGCGCCCTGTGCCGACAATCCTCACTGCCTTCTGCTTCTTCCGGGCCACCAAACGCCCAGCCTGTTGAGTGAGAGGAATATTCCCAAAAGTAAGTACACTGTGAAATTTTGGATAGGAATGCTGGGTGACAGTATTTGAGATAATTCTTACCTTTTGAGACTTCTTTGTTTGAAAGCTCATGTCTTCAATTGCTCTAATCAGAAGTCGCTGTGCCCTGTGCCATCAGAAAATCATTAAAATGAACATTGAAAGCACTGTGAGCGGTAAGTATTCTGGGGATTCTGACTCTCTACCTCCTGTATGTTGGCTGACAAAAAACTGATCTGATACCGCACCCCTCATTACTGTATTCCATATCACTGTACCAACCTGTAATAGTTGGGTACCCTTCCACTCTGGAGGTCCAGCAGCTGACAGGGGTGAACTTGGCTGGCGTGCCATGAGTCCTCAGCGCCAGCAGGGCGCGTGTTGGTTACATGAAGAATGTCGTTGCAGGACACAGCCAGGGTCCAGTTAGGGCCAGCAGGGAGAGACAAGTTGACACGTACGTAGAAGGAGTCTCCGGATGATGTCGCACTGCTCTGCAGCTGCTGCAGCAGCGCCTCATAGTCTAAACAGGAAGAAGAATATTGTATACATTATTTACTTATTATGTAATCTATAAAGTCTTCAATTGTACACTGTGACTTTGCGTATAGTGATATTAGCTCCACTGTCCAATTCAGGTTTAATAATTGAACATGCTGTAACTACCAGCCAAAGAGTTAAAGGAAGATTTGACCATCTTATGTTCATGTATTAGTTTCCTCATGTGGCAGCTGGCCATCCCTTTAATCTCAAGAGAAGCAATCTACTTCCTGAAGGCCTCGTAACAGCTGAAGCCATAAACTTTTATTTCCAGCTGATCCCACGATACAGTCACTGTGATTTGTTATAAAACAGTCCTGCCTTATCACTGTGCTCTCGCATGTGTGTGTGTGCATTTACATATGTTTGTGTGTGTGTGCAAAAACCTTTTTTATTGAAAATGAAAAGTGAAGAAATGCATTCTTTTGTTGCTGTTTTTCTTTACCATTATTATGTAATTTCATGATCCTGGAATCACAGCATGAACACGAATTATCGCAATGCAAAATGACAATTTTGCTCATTGAGGATAACATGAATTTATCTGAAGAAGATCCTGGGTCATGTGAAGTCATGGGAAATGTAGTCTGATATGAATTATTTTATGATAAAAAGGTACTATTTGGGCTTCAAGAATGGATATTTATGACGGAGTCGGATGCAACATCTTCAGTAAAATGTCTAGAAATCATTCATGATGATACATACAATCGTGTTTACAAGGGGCTAACAGGGTTTTATGTACATGCTGTGGGACATACCATCTTGCCTAGGCCGGAGGGAGAGGTGACAGAGGCCTGTGACCTGGCCAAGAGCCCACATAGCTTCCTCTAAAGTGGAATCTTCCAGCACCATTCTCAGAGCCTTCTGGTTCTGCTCGTACTTCACCTGCAGACCAACAATATTATGAGAAACGCCTTCACAGTAGGCAGAATGATTAGAATTAGTTTTCAGAAACACACTTCAACCCACCTCCACTATCTGTGCCCCGGGGCTGATGCCGACAGTATGGGCAGCTGTGCCTTCTGTCACCTGGTGCACAAACACTCCGGTCTTATTGCCTCCCACCACTGCCAGCTGTCCGAGCAGTGCTTCCCCCTGGAGGGAAATGCTGAGGACACGGCCGTTGACACGAATTGCTTTCTGACGACAACGCATCAGGAATGGAGGGACTGAGGTTGTTGACAGGCTGGCGAGAGAGAAATGAAGAGATGAGAAAAGGATAGAACGCTTGATCAAACATTTTGATTCAAAGGATTCAAGGTCTGATTCACAAAAGATATTCCCCTCATGATATTACAATGAAAACAATGTTTTGCAAATGAGTGGAATTTGCCATTTTATTTGCATCTGTTTGTAATTATACATGTGGCAATGTACAATGACAATGCGTCAGTTGTAAGGGGTGAGAGTCATCTAACTTTTCTCTATTCATACATTATTTGGTTGATACATTACAGAGTTTTTTGAGATCCTACCGCAGCAGAAATGAGAAGCGTGTCTTTAATAAGTGTTGCACTTTGAGCAATTATGCACAGCAGCGTAACTTTATTATCTAAATCATATATTTTCAAAACTCACATGTATGGGCATTTACTTCTTTTTTAATGAGATGTCATTGTCAGTGACTGCATCCCACAATAGATGATTAAATCTAAGTTTGTAAACAGGGATGTTGTGTTTAATAAACCAGTGCTGATTAATGATTTATTCATCTCCTATATCTTTATTACCCTCTGTTAAATCTTCTACTACCTTAATGGTATGCAAGGGCTTCAATTTACAGAATATGAATTATATTCAGGCAGACTGGCGTCCGTTCTACACAAAAATGCCATAATGTCATATGTCATAGGTCATATTTACAGCTGTGTTGTGGATTGTCTCACCCATCCATGCTGAAGTCATTAGAAGGGGAAAGCCTGGGCTTGTGCTTGTCTTCACTCTCCACTAAACAAAAGAGAGGCAGTTTAATGATTTGGCATCAGGGCTGTGTGTGTGTGAGTTAATGTGTCACCTTACAGCCCTGGCAAAGGTTCAACATTGAACAATAGCAAGTGAAAGTCCAGCCAAACTGCAGCAAACCACCAACCCGTCCACCCAAAAAGGCTTCATATCTTTTCTATACACACCACTGGGGATAAACACAAAGTCGTCCAATAGAGATTCAGTCTCCACTGCTTCCAAGCTGCAAGAGAAAAAAAAAAGACAAAAGATACATGAACACCACTATCAGATTTCTCCCAGTCTGTTACTGTCTTTCACATACAAACATGTACACTGACAATGTTGAGTTATGTACTGCATACTGAGCTTACTTTAATGCTAATGTGAGATACTCATCTGCCATGCTTCGACCCAGAGACCGTGTTGATTGGTTGGCAGGAATAATTAGGAATAATTAAAAAGGAAAAGCTACATTTTCTGGCAGCACTTTGAACACGAAAATATTAAAGTTCTTGAGCAGAAATACAATAATTGAGGAATGTGAGTCTGTACAAAAAACGATGAAGTCTATTCAGAGTGTGTTCTTACTGTGCACCCAACACCCTCTGCCTGCAGCTTTTGTTTTTTCTTTCTTGGTATCATACGATCCTAGTTAAGCCCCTCATATTCCTGTTAATTGATAATCCACCCGAAGCTGGATGCCTTGACGTTAACAGAAAGGAATGCAGCGCTCAATAACACCTTAAAGTTATCCTTCCTGCCAACAGCCTCAACAGTTGGAACTAATGATGTAAAAAGCATGAACACAAACTCACAGTAACATATGCTGTGGATGAACCTGGAAACACACACCTGCTGTCTGCATACAGAGCTTCCTCCCTTCGGCGGAGAGACTCTCGACTGGGGGGCTCCGCGTTTCGGGATCGGACACTACTTGCATCTTCACACTGTACACATACACACAGATTGATACACATGGGATATGTACACACAAATATGAATTATTAATATATACAAATGTGTAATAATCAAGATTATTTTGAAATCAAGAAAAATGAGTCAAAAATGTCAATACAGGCGCCAGCAATATATATACCAAAATATTTTTTCAATGCCTTACTTTGAGAAATACAAACTCTTTTTTTCATTTTGAAAAATATGTCCAAATTGTTAATATATTACCAATTAATATTGCTTGAAAGGATTAGGCAGGCTTTATTCCATATTCTTCTTATTCTCAACAAATCTAAAACAGCTGGGCATTATAGCGACTGTTAATCAAACAGGCGTAAATAGTGTACTTGTTGGGGAACTATTGTTATTCATCATAAATTACAGTTCACATGATCATCATAATGGAGGACCATGTCACACAGTGCAACCGTGTGGAAACAATGGAGCTCTATGGCACAGAGGACTAAGATATATCAGACTTAGGCTGTTAACAATTAGAAAAGTATGCACTATTGCCACCCTTATTCTTTAACAAATGCACCTGTACAAGAACTTCAACTAAATAGTAAATTAAACAAAAGCAAAATACTTGACACTCGATCATTGATCAAAAAGAATTGTTCAATACCCAGTCCTAATAAAATAATTGTGGATGATCTCAATTACACACACACACACACACACACACACACACACACACACACACCTCTGAATTGAAGGCACATGGATTGATTGCATCCATGCGGCAAAGTCTTTGTCTATTGGGGATTCTGTGTGGGGATATTGGGGATTCTTCAAAGCTGGATCTCGGGCTCTCCCAGTCCTCCTCCGTCTCCTTTGACAAAAACACAAAATAACATTATTATTTCTGTACGTGTTGTGTTCATGTGTATGCGGATATGTCTTGTCTGACTCACCACATCACAACTCCGCCGTTGTTGTTCTCTGGGGCTGCGTTGGGCCTGCACGCTGAAGACTTGCTCTTGGAGCTCAACCAGCTGACACCTCAGGGTGTCCTTCTCAGCCAAGATGCGGGCGATCATGGTCTGGGCCTCGTCTCTGGACAGGTACGCCTAGAAGCATGGGAATCGTTCATAATTACTTTACAAACCTTTTTTTACACAAAAAGAACTGTGCACAGGCACGCCTTGTAAACACAAGGCGTGTTTAAGCCTCATGGAGCCTCACGCGCCGCCTGTAACTCAAAACGTGGATATACACATGTTTCATGAAGAATAATTAATGTGTGTGCCAGCTTCGCTGCCACAGAGGCGTGTGATATGCAGGATGTTGTCGACGTGGCGTCTGTGGCTGGTCTGTTTCTATCTTTTCATACATTCTTGTGAAGATAAAAACTCAGGAACAATATATGATAGAAACCATGAAGCAGCAACCATGTCTCACTGTCTTGTGTTGTTGGTTACTGACAAGGGATCAAGTGTGAGCTAAAATACTCAGGTGCAAGACAAAAAGTACTTGACTGCAGGGCACAAAGGAGGTCTGCATACCGGTACGCTCAAAATAAAAAGTTTGTGTGTAAGAGAAAAACAGGCATTTCTTGTATAGAGGCAGTAATCAACTCGGATCACCTGCTGACCAGCAAACAGCAGGCAATCACAGTAATCCAGAAAATAGAAATCCAGAAAAGAATATCTAAAATACAATGTTAAAGGAGCAGTGTATATCTAGTGGTAAGGTTGCAGATTGCAACCAACCGAAACCTCCTCCGCTCAACCCTCCCTTACCAAGCGTATCAAAGAACTACGGTGGCCTTGAGGTGATGCAAAAAAAACGTGAAATGCCATCACTCGAGCCAGTGTTGTTTTGTCTGTTCTGGGCTGATGTAGAAACATGGTGGTGCAACATGGCAGACACTGTGAAGAGGACAAGCTCCATATTTAGATATAACCAGCTCATTCTAAGGTAAGGACAACACAAAGACTCAGGTGATTATACACTAATGAAATTATTATATTCCATTTCTGCTAATGGAGCCCCCTAATTCCTGCAAACGGATGCTTTAATGTAACAGAACCTGAAGGTAATCATTTGGTACGAAAAAAGTGGTTCAAAAATGTGTCTAGTTCTCAATAAATGTACAGATGGATGCAGACATGTTGTTGTTGGTTACTGCACAGCTCCAGTGGAGCAGCTGGCAGCTGTGTGACCACCTGACAGTTGTCAGGGTGTGGGTGGATTGTTATTTCATTCCTCTCAGAGGAAAAGCCTCAACAATGTTTAGAAGAGACAAGTACGAAACCTGCTTTAAGATGAATCATTGCTTCGTGGTATCATCGACAGGTGAAATGTAGCAAACCACTATGTTTATGTCAGTGTAAAAGTTGTTTACATTTACTTTAATACTGTGTGATGACAGGAAGAATACTAATTTGAGTAAAGGAGAGCTTAATCAATGTGCCATAAGAGATATAAATAACTACACACCTACACATAGGGAGTTACAGACAATAAGAGCCAAGAGAACTGGTTGAATTTTGACACTCTCCACAACAACAATGCTGACACTTGACTGCTTGACATTTCAGCAGAAAACACATAAAGCATGATGTGATGGATGCTCAGTTACAAAACAAGCCATAAAAATAGAATCTAAAACAGAAAATGCTGCTTGGTAAACTGAATTAATGTTTTACGGAAAACAGAAAGGTTTGAGTGGCAAGACTGTTCCTTACTTGGTCTCTCTCTGCCTGCAGCTCTTTCATCTGGTTCTGGACCACAGTGCTCTTCTGCTGGTGCATGTTACAGTCCAGGGTCAGCTGCTGCACCTGGAGGCTCAGGTACTCCTTTTGATCCAAGAGCTGAATGCAAAATACACACATGTTAGACAAATGTGGCCTCAAATGATTTAGGGATATATAATAGAAGTACACAGTATTATCATTTATCAATTTCTCATTGCGTGTATAAATGTTTATTTCCTCTTTTTTATACAACGCACACTTAATAAGTATGAGACATACTCAGATTCTTATTTAACTTGAGGTTCTCCTCTGTCTAAGGGCGTTTGTGCATCATTTGTAGCAGTGGGATAAACAAAATGTCACTTTTCATATTCCAGTAGAAGTTTCCTGAATAAGCGTGACATTTCCTGATCCATGATGACACAGGAACCTCCCCCCCCCCCCCACACACACACACACACACACACACACACACACACACCACTTGTTTCTCTCTCAGCAGCTGTTCATTCTCCTCTCTGTAACACCTGAGCTGCTCTGCAAGCTCCACCTGGCTGTCTATGGCCTCAGCCAGGTCCTGGGCCAGGATGTCCTGACGAGCCTGGCAGAGACACAACAGCGACAGCAGATTAGATACAAACAGGAAGACACAACTGGCTATTGACTCTTTCACTATTTATGTGTGGTTATGTGTTGAAGCTGTTAGTATCAGCGAATACCAGAGAATGATTAAGGGAATATTCTCACTGGGTCCAGTTTTTCCGCCTTCACCAGCTGGCAGCGCAGACTTCTGACCTCCTCTTGCAGCTGCGGAGTCTCAGCAGGGGCACACCTGAGCGAGCGTCGCTTCTGGAACTCATTCTCCGTTTGTGCCTTCTGCAGCTCAGTCTGCAGCTGATACATCTGCTACCACACAAGAGCAAGAATGTCGATGGGGCTACAACTATGATTATTTCTATACAACAATCCTCTTGTTTTTCTGAATTTATCAGTTGACAAATACAGTTTTGTCTATAAAATGTTCAAATAATTGTGACCAAAATCCAAGATAATGGACAAAAATGTTGTGTATTGTCTCACCAACAGTCCCACCATCCCCAAAGATATTTAAATAAAGACAATTATATACGTATATAGCAACAAATGCACATTTGAGAAGTTGGATCTAACTTATCTCTGCTTGATAAATAACTTTTAGTTTAGATAATTTAGATCTAAATTTACATCAACCTATGATGTTCACATTTCAGTTCTTTAAGCCTTGAGATCACAGCTTTGGCTTTGTGTTTCAGGAAAGAGACACTCATTCTATGTATTTCTGAGTTTTTGAGTGACAAGGGTCACTGACCTGCAGGTTGAGGTCATGGAGACGTATGTTCACAGCTGATTTCTCCTCGATGGCTGCTGTGTAGCGCATGTACAAGTCACACTTCTCATCCTTCAGCTTGGTGATGTCATGTTGCAAAGAACACAAGTGTCTACGCATGCGTTCATTTTCAGACTGAAGACATCTGGACTTCTCCCCCAGCTCCATTATCTGCCTAATCTCCAACTCCAGCGAGGCACAGCTTGCGCTCTTTCTGCTAGCTTCACAACGTGCCTCCTGGAGCTCTTTCTGCATCCCTGTCACTGCTCTGACCAGATACTCTGTCAGCTCTGAGTACTTTATCAGGCCTGCGAGGAGAGCAACGCAAATTAGACATGAAGCAAGTTACACAAACACACAATTATTCACTTAAAATACCTTATTAAAGCCACTGACCACTAAATCTTGAAGGCTCAGTGCTGGGTTTGCGTCCTGTGACTTGGGTGTACAAGGGGGGGTAGTGGATCATCAGGCTCTCCACCAAGGCCACAGCACCATTCCTCCCCTGGGTCCTCAGCAGATCCAGCATATGGCCTGTAAATGGAAGATGATAATGTAATGTTGTCATAAACTTCAACCCTAACCGTTGAATCATCCAAAATGCATATATATATATATATATATATATATATATATATATATATATATATAGCAGGCCAATACACTCTCAAACTCTTTTAGGTAGCATAACATGTTTGTTTTCCAATAAATATTTGTTTTTAGGACTGCAGTGTGGCTGGAATTTCCTCCGTCTCTTGGCAATACACTCAACAGTCAGTGTAAATAAATCCGGTGCAGTAAAAGAGGAGGCAGACTACATCCTCCACAACACCATGGAAATCCAAAAAGCAACAAGTCAAGTCAGAAATCTCACTGGTTCTCATGCTGCGGTTGGTGAAGTTGTGGCAGGAGAGGATCTCATCCTCATCCATCTCGGTGAGCACCCTGGCCTGCCTCAGGTACGGGATCAAGATGCCTGGCTGCACCCCCAAGGAGATCCGGTGGCGGTTGTCGTTTATCAGGTCCCACAATTCCTCCTCTCCCATCTCTCCAAGATCTGGACTCTCAAGAACACACTCCCCTGCCATCCTGAGTGTGTAACACGGGTTTAAAAGAGAGATGGGTGTACGGCTAGACCAAACGGAGCAAGCACGCACCCTTTGCCGCAAAGAAAACTTGTCACTGACTCATCCCTGGAAGCACACAGAACAGCAGTCTGACTGGAAGCGCATAAGAGCCAGGCTTTCCACGCCCATTTGTTATGTCAAAACATGTGTGTGTGTGTAGGAAAACCTGTAAGACAAGACCTCTGTGATGCGGTGCAACAAGGGACTGAGTCGATGAGTGTTGGAACAAACAGAGCTGAAAGATCTCACACACGTTCACGTTTCATACACAAATACTAAAAAAACATTACTCAAGTGAGCCACACATATGTCTATTCCATTCACACTCTTGGTGGCTTTCTCAGGTTTGTTTGCTTCCAACAAATAATTCAATATCTAATCACATCATAAATCTCTGCCGGATTTTATCAATGAGCAAAGCCAGATTTGTTTGTTGAATGGAGTCAAGCCACATTCTATGGTCTAAATGAACAAAGCCGCTGGCCAATCCAGAAACATGAGATGACATGGGAGGTTGCCTTAATAATTGCTAATCACAGTAAAGTAAACACACATACCTCACTGCCGACAGGAACACTGAGCTATGAAGTGCAAAGTCCTCCGTTAAACAAGGAAATAAGGTTGGGGGGCGTAGCTGGCAGGGATGTCAGCCCAAGTTCAAAGGCTTTCTCATACTGTTAGCTAATTTACAGCTAACTGTTTACTGTACAGTAAAGGGTTTATGCAAACAAATGGAAGCTATTAAGGCAACATACTGTAAATTATATAACGTTACTGGCACACAGGATGTGTGTTGGAGGATGTAGGTAATTGAATAGATACAGGGAATATGGAAATTTAAAGAAATTGCTTAAAAGAATATGTTTTAACTATAGAAATGAAATAAAATAATACATTTTAGACTATAACATTTGTGTAGAGCTCAAAGGATACAAACACTGTCTCACAGTCACAGAGTCACAGAGCTATTCCTGTATTTCTAACTAAGGATGTGGTTTAAGATCAAAGGAAGTTATTAAAAGGGATTAAGATGCATGTTCCAGTAAACTGCAATAGTGTGACTCAGAAAATTATGAATGAATAATGCATGAGCTCATCGAATCTTGACAAATGACGGATTGTCAATTAATGAAATCTACAAACAGCATGATTCTACTGCTGTTCCAACAAATTATTTTCAACAACAAAGAGGATTAACAGAATATGATCCTTTAGCCCCTGATACTGTTGCAGAAAGGGAGAAAAGACAGAAATGCACAGAATAGTCCTAAACTACTGGTCCTACCAGACCAAGGAAGGCTAGAGCAGAAAAACCTCCAATTATATTGACCAAGAGCCTTTATGCTGCTCAAGTGTCATAATCATGTAGGTGACTGAGAGAGGACCTTCTGATTATGGTATTAATCCAATCATACAACTGATCTCTGTTCTCTGAAGAAGCAGCTAACATAACTAATATTATTAGTTGTAGTCTGAAGTAGTTGACTTAACAGGTCACAAGTCAAAAGATGACAGACAAGTTGAAAGATGGGATTTGGGGTATTTGGGGTTGGGTATTGACACAGACAAATCATATTCTATTTCCACATTTTCACAGCATATTAAGATGATAAAAAAATAATATTTACTTTCTCTACAGACAAAAATAACTTAAAGGAATTGCCCGTATCTATGATCATCTTTGAAATTATTTATGGAAATTTCTTGAGTCATTTCGTGGGTTGCACATTTTTAGCTTTTCGCAAGTAATTTCATGCTGCTGCAATGGACACTTAGAGAAAGTGCTCCAGAACTCAGGTGACGCAATATCAAGAGCCAGAAGGGAAGTGGACTGGGTGAATGGGTGGGCCAAACGCATGACTTTCACCCAGAAGACAGTTGTTTGCGACAACCGTTGACCTATTCACATTGACTACTTCACTTACTTATAGGTAAATTAATTTCTGTAACAAACGTCCTAACCCAAACCATGATATTTTCTTAAACCTAACCAAGTAGTTTTGTTTGAACTCACAAAGAGCCGTGACCGTGCCTCCGTATGTGACGAGTTGGGAATGAGAATAGCATTAAACGACATGCGAAAAGCTTAAAATGTGTGACATGACATGCAAAATGTCCTTTCAAATGGCATCATGATGGCTGTTAACCTGGCAGTGCAACTGTTTTGCTGCTGCATCACTGTGCTCGAAAGAAAAGTAAATTATAGAGATCTCGTTCTTTCAACATAAGTCATCTGCCATATTCCACTGAGTAAGAATGGGATAGGTGTGTAAGAGCTTTGTTTTACGTCAGAAATTCAGGCAAGAGGAGTGTGAGAATGAGTTTGAATAAGCGGAGGATGAGTTCTTCTTATTAGTTGCTTGTTTGGCCATAGTTCAAGGTCTGTGCGCCACGATACCAGTTCAAGTGACAGTCTGTAGGGTGCAGGGTGCTGTGGAAATTATGACAAGACAGAATACATGATAGCGCTCACGGAGAGCATGCAATGGGAGGAACCGGTTCCACAACATTGCACGAATAAGACTTCGTGGGAACCTTTGCACTCACATTTGTAAGCGTTAAATTCACTTGAAGTTACCGTCGCGTAAAGCAGATGTGCTGATTTCGAGGACGGCCTGCAGCTGATTGGCAAGTCACCAGTTATTGGAAGAGGGACATATAATGTTGATTGCAATGATTGACAATGGAGTGAAATGCACTGACACAGTGCTGGTCTATTGTGAACAGACTTAAGTGCCATTGTCAACCAGGACAGGTGTGGCCAGTGTATTTCAATAGCAGAGTATAGAAATACATCTCCACCCATTGTAAATGTGCAGGTTCTGTCCTTTACGATAAACTACCACACTGGTGAGCAACAATAATTAAAACATATTACAGTTTCCATAATTAATTGCATATCAGACCTGTAACTTTGGATTCAGAGACTTTGACTGCTACCACTTTTAGTAATTTAGCTCAGGATGTTTGGTGCCACCTAAATGATTTTAGGATTACCAAATCCCTCCTTGAATATCAAATTGTTAACATTGATTATTTACTAAGAGTATAGTACAGTATAAGCTTTGCGTGATATTTTGCGTGATATTTTTTATAATCATACAGTTGTATATTTAATATACAACTGTATGATTTTACATAGTTAATTAATATACTATATTAATTAACAAAGTAAAATTTTGGGATTTACTCCAACTGTCATGGGGTGTGGTGTTGGATCCAAAAGCAGACATGACCAGGGATTTTGAGGGAAAACAAAAGGGTTAATTCGGGGTAGACACAAAGGGGAACAACGGGGAGGTTGCTGCGGCCCAGCAAGACCACAAAAAGGGCAGCCGGAGGCCAGCCCGAGGCCAGCCCGAGATTGTTGCTGGGGCCCAGAAACGGGGTACCGGGGTAGATGTACTGTTGGGTGATGAATAGATAGAAGGCAGCTGGGTGGACTTGGCAGGTGAGTTGAATGAATGTAATCAAGAGGGAGCCGGGAGGAGACCAGGGCGGAGCCACGCCCAAAGCACACACACACACACAGACACAGAGACACAGGAGGCAAAGCCTAATCGTGACACTAACTTCCTACATTGAGACAGTCTTTTTATGCTCTCATTCACTCACAAATCTCTTTGGCTTTCGCTCTCTGGCTCCTACGCTATCAGCTGACAGTGGCCGATTTCGCCAAGGTCTCCCTAAGCCAATCATATATTTCCCGTCAAACTTTAAAGACCTGTTCTCTTCACTGCAGTCAGCTGTCATTTCATTACGAACCGATGTGACCCTCCTCCCCATTCATCATCACATCCGGTGCTTAAGGTTTCTTCTACTGAGCTCAGTGAACTCAGTTCCACTCCACATGCCATCGTCTAGATCAGAGGTCTTCAACCGGGGTTCCGCAACCCCTAGGGGGTCCGCGGAGGTACTGCAGGGGGTCGTGACATTTTCGGTTGATTAGACAATTTTTCATATTTTTTTAATATTTAAAAAAATATATATTATTTTTTTTTCCCAAACATGAATCTGTCCATTATTTTAATAATTCAGTATTGTATGCAAGACAACAGGTATGTTTATGCATGGCAGTGGCACTAATAGGCCATCACTCATTTTTCATTTCCACATTTATATTTACAATACAAATGTCAATTTGAATAGCTTCTATGATTATCATTCAATTGACAGACAATGTTGATATTGGCATTGGTATCAGTTGACAAGGTATGTTTCTAAATGGCAGTTGCACGGTGTCCCCACTCACTGTACCTTGCACATGTTAAAAATAAAAACATGAATATATGAACCTGTGTATTATTTGAATAGCTTAGTTTTGAATGCACAATAAAGAGGTATTCACGGTACTAGGCCCAGTTTAATATAAAACACAATTTTATACAATATATATAGGAGGGGGTCCCTGCTCCATCTCTCTATCAGTTTGGAGGTCCTTGGCCTGAAAAACATTGAAGACCCCTGATCTAGATCTTCTACACCTCCACCAGTGTCGACTCTCCAAAATTTTAACTTTGCTTTGCACAATTTGATAAATATATTTGTTCACTGTAAATTAAGTTTCTCCTGATTGAACAACCTGTGCCTACCTGTATAATTGTGTCAATTATCTCCCGTTTGTTTCAGTTCTCATATTTATTGTGTTTTTTGTTATGTATGTTATGTTATTTCAAACTAATTTGCAATCATAACAAGCGTGGTCTTTGTTGGTGAAATGTTCCTTGTATACAAAGAACAATTACTTACTGTAAAATCTTTTAGATGTGTTTTCTAGACTTACACGGGTTATGAAAAAAAAGTAGGAAAATAATCTTTGTGTTGATTTTGGAAGTTTTACCAAGCTTCAAGATCTAAGAGATAATCATGATTTAAGAGTCTGCTTTTGAACAGCAACCTCCTGGCTTCCATGTAGTATAACTCAACCTATCCACAAACATTTAATTAAACGTTGGAACACCTCACCTCTACTGCAATGAGCTCGGTTCCATTGTGCTCCGGCAGCCCCGGTGGTTAATAGTCAAGTTAAGCTTCCTGTATGCTTTGCCAGAGCGGCACGTCCATGAGATGTCCACTCTGGCTTCTCTATACTAACAATAAATTGAAGCTTTGCAAAGGCCACCACAAATCACTTATGACACTATCATGTTGTCGTCGTGGACTGGGAGGAAGTAATGCAGAATACCTCAAAATACAAAATACCCTTGCTGAGCATGTTCAGAAGTTCACTGCAAATGGTGCAGTTGCCCCAACAATAACTATAAACACAAACCCTGGCATGCACACCTTAAACGACACAGAAGTCACTACTGAGACACAGTGCAGACAGCCTCACCCAGTCCTTTATGCATGTTTCAACAGTATAATGTACATGCCAATTACATTTTATCAATAGGTGTCACTTCAACACTGTCAGGTGAGAACACTTGCAGTTGGTGTAAGCCCTGGTTAGAAAAATGCTTAATAGTGCACAATGGAAAAACCAACAGCATCAACATTGTTTAGCTGGGTCCCAATTTTATACAATATATTAATTGTCACCCGTTCTGAATGTTATCAGCTAGTTAAATGTCTATTTAACGATATTATTGTATGATATCGGGAAAAAAAATGATATTGTGAGTTTTGTCTTCCTCTTTGAGTGCAGGATACCGATAAATACACTGATATGTATTCAAAAACTAATAAACTTAAGAGAAAAAGAAAGCACAACAGATCTTATCTCTTTGTTGGTTTGTAAGATCTTGCTGGGGCTGTCACACGACCATCCTCATTATATTTTAATGTAATGCAGCTCTTTTGTGCATTGCATTTTGGGAAATTGGTGTATATCACCTAAAAATTAAGTGTTTTTAGCATGCATAATAATCCTTTGAGTATACTTAATTTAGCCACATCTCCAGACTGGGTACTACAAGACCTACTTAGAATTAGTGTGGTATTGAATTAGGATGCAACAAATGGTACTTTTTTTGACCATAACAAATTGTATAAAGTATGTTTGTATGTCATGAGGAATCTGTTTTATAAAACAAGAGTGCATTTTAAGTAGTTGTGTGGAATGTCTGCGCACATGGGGAGCTTTACCTGGAATCAAGAGGAAAGTAGAGGAAAAGAAAATAAGTAATTATGTGATGCAGATCACACATTGTTTGGCTACAATATACTGTCGAAAAAGGTGCCGTTTCAGCAACCATGGCTGTTTATGTGATTATGCAGGCGACATGCTTTATGGACTTTAATGGGAGTGAAACCTCACAGACCTCAAAACTGTTCTAAATTGCAAAATGAGGAAGTGGCAAGGGAATAACGTCATCTGAAATTTGATCACATTGACCTGGCACAAGATATGAAGAGCTCAAACGTGCTGCTGTTTGCCCTTTTTTCAGTAACTGAACAAACAAAAGGTGGATGAGTTACAGTAAATACATGATTATACTGAATGATTAAGAAATTACTCTATTTTTGTCTTTGCTGCATTAATTATTGGGACAATGTCACTAGAAACAACCTTTATTTATGTTACTAACCTTTCATCATTCAAATAGTACCAATGAACCACATATCACTTAGATTCCATACTGGCAACTGGATTTAAAAAAGCACTCAAAAGGATTAAGTTATTTGTATTATTAAGTCTTTATTTTATAACATTAACACATCACACTCAATTATTATTGTATTTCATTCAAAGCATATAAGAATGCAAACATTAAAACATAAGAATGCAAACATTAAAACATAAGAATGGAAACATTAATAAAGTATATAATAATGCAAACATTAAAATAAAATGAGCTTGCATACTTCTCCGGTCGTCACTTATCTAATCTTTCTTCTCAGGACGTCTCCTGCTATGGTTCTTGTGTGCGTGCTTCAAGCGCTTGCGACAGCCTGTGCAGTGCCCTCTGGTGCTGAGGGAACTCCTCACACACGCGGTGCACGATGGTGTTGACGGCGTGCACACGCTCCATCTGGCTCTGCAGAGCGGCGACAACAGATTCGCTGGTGGACGAAGCCTTGTAGCTGCCCTCACACACGCCCTGCAGCTTCTTGGCACGGCCCTGTAGAGCAACTAGGTGGACTAGGTTCTAGAGGATGGGGAAAGCCCATGAGTAGTTATTTCAGGTATTCTTGGTGTGTGGGAGTGGATTCTGTAAGTGGAAAGTGTGACACTCAAATTGGTAGTTCCCAGCCATGTCTACATGGCCCGGTGCCTGTGCATGTTTCAATTCTGAATTGACACACGTACCAGCATTTTAGATAAAGATTAGATTAGATTTAAAGACAGTGAAGAGTAAATCACACACATACACACCAGTGTAATCTACAAAGATTATGAAATTTAAAAGCTCATTTACAGTATATTTAGCATGTGTTGCAAGCCAGTACATGTGCCCCTTACCCTATCTTTTGTGTCTTGGAGATTTCCAAATTCAGGATCAAGGATGCAACTGGTGCCGCAGAGTTCTATCAGCTGCTGCTTCTGCTGTGCGAGCCTGTTGCTCAGACTGTCCTGGCTCTTCTGTAGCTCCCCGATCACCTGCTCACGCTCTGCCACATGCTAAAGACGTACATACTGCATGTAAGACAATTGTGCAACATGCTTCAGGCATGTAATGCAGATATGGAAAAGATCCACGTCCCCTACCTTTTGTGTGTCCCGGAGCTTGCGCTGCAGGCGCTGTGTGATGCGGTTCAGCTCGCCCTTACTAGTTTGTCTGCGGTGGGCAGAGTGGTGGGCGATGGCCTCGCTGCGCAGGACAATGGTCTCCCTTCGTGCCACGGTTGCTTCACTCTCCCTCAACAGTTGCTCCTGCTGCTTCATCAGCTGGTTGAGTCGCACCTGCACAGACACGCACGTTTAATGAACCGAGTCCAGAGGTATTAAAACATTGTTAAAAACATGAATAGAAGCATAACAATCATTACCAAGGCCAAGATATCTTATTAATTTGAACTTTTAAGTTGCTTAGAAGGCCAAGCCATTCATTTTTTGCTCACCTTAAATGTTTGCTTCACTCAAACACATACTATGGTATTGTTTGGGATGCTGTTTTACCGTAAAGATATTTTAATACCTCAGATGAGGAAGGTCCTAAAAACAGTGGTGATGAATGAAATAAAAAGAATGAAAAAGCTGAATTTATTTTAACATATCTGATATGTTTGCTGTGATTCTACTGTCAGCATTACATAATTCAAAAGATGTGCTGTAGATTAAAATGGAATACTAACATTACAACCGAACTCTTCTTCACTTCCCTGGAGTCAACGAGCAACGAGCGGTTATTGAGACTTCTGGGTCCGAACGGCCTCACACCTTCAGACAACGGTGCAACAAGCAATACTGGGAGCTCAGGGGTTGGCCTGTTCCTTTCAAATGGCCACACCCCAAATGGGCAGTGCACTAGTGTAGAACAATAGTTCCCAAGCCCCAGATCATCTGCCTCCAGGGCCATAAAGGCTAAAAAGTTGAATTATTATATTTCCATTACACGTTTTTTTTTTTTAGGTAATGACATTGATTTTGACATCTCTTCTATACCTTTCCTCATCACTTCCAAACCCAACAAAAACAGGCTGATTTATATCTAAAGCATGTCATTAGTACAGGAAGTAATCAATCTGTAACTTAGCTACTTGATCTGTGTGTGCTGTGTTCCTATTGCAACTAACTAGCAAAGATACATAATTGAGAAAAAAAACACTAAGATTTTGAGAGTCTTTTTTGTTTGAAAGTTGTAGCATGTGTGGTATAATATCCAAATGTCTCACCTAAAGCATGGGGCCTTTTTCTTTCGGTCAAGATACCCCCTCTGTCAATAAGTCAGCCGTCACATGTTACTGCCCTAATGTACGTACACTACCTATATGCACATACAAAGGCAAACAGCAGTGGACAACTCAATATGTCTGTTTACCTTCTCTTTGTATAATCATATTGTGTGCAATGTGTTTACCTCCATACGGTGTATCTCAGCCTTCATCATCTGAACGTCTCCCACCCCGTCCAAAGCTGAACGAGTCTCTTTTATAAGCTGGGTCTTCTTCTCCCATAACATAATCTGCCACCTGCCGCACACACACAGACAGACACACACACACACACACACACACACACACACACACACACACACACACACACACACACACACACACACACACACACACACACACAGAGTACCCAATATGTGTGTTTGAATTTGTTAAGTGTATGAGCGTTGTATGTGCTACTTATCCATACTCTGTGTATTACCGACAGGAAATGGCAGTCGACACGTTCCCGAGTTTGTAAAAGCAGGGAGGAGGAGCAGCAGGGAAGCCAAGCAAAGCAACGTACTGCTGTGGACGGGGGCAGCAGCAAAACATATTTTGGACACCAAGAAGAAAGGCACACCTACAAAAAGCTATATCAGTTTCAAGTGTATGCTGCATTTAGAAGATTTTCACTGCTTTCCAAGGGTAAACTGAAGCCATTATATCTATCTACGCTCTCCTCAATGCCACCAGACTCACATAGACATAAACACTTATTTTACCTCGCAGAACACAGGAGTTGCTGGTCTACCGCTGCCTCAATCATTTAGTTGGTTTGTGTTCGTGTGGGACTAATGTGAATCTGAAGTAACCCTTTAAAACACCAAACTGAAATAGATTTTTTAGGAGTGCCTCTCTTTTAGGTGTCTAAAAGACGTCTTGCTGCTGCCCCCTCCCACAGCAGTACATTGCTTTGCTCCTGTGCCAGTATGTCTGTCTGCTTCTTCAAACTGGGGGCGTGCTGACCGTCATCTACTGTAGGTATATAGTATATAATAAACATATATATAATACACTGACTACACAACCTACAACCATACTTAAAATAAATCAGTCCTTTAATATAGAGTTGAAAAATTACAAAACCAGACTCATGTGAAATGTCATTAACTGAGTAATTTCATTCCAATACATATTAGGTATTAATTATTGGAAAACAATTATCTTGATATTCATGAATATACTAAAATACCCTCGAGGTTACTGTTTGCTAAGCAGTAATCATAACAGTATACTATCATAATGTTCTCTTGCCTGAAGCCAGCAGGGATTTATAAGAGTTGGAATATATATTTTTGTTCAATAAAACATAAGGGAATAAAATGCATCAAGCTGTTTGCTATACAGACGTAAAAATATAAACTCATCTTAAACAAACGTGACTGACTTTGCCTCCACCAGAGTGTTGAGGAGTCTCTCCTTTTCCTCCTGGGTGTTCTCGTGTTTCATACGCATCTTGATAGCCTCTCGCTCTGCCTCCTAAACACATGATATCACGGTTAGTTATCCTTTACTCATACAAATGGAAGAAAAGAGGAATCAAACAATCAATGGCGTGCCTTAAGACTGTGGAGCCCATCTGCCTCCATCAATGCATGCTGCTGCTGTAGCGCCTGGCTGAGCTCTCTGTTCATGCTCAGCAGGGTCTTGAGCTTCAGCAGGTCTCCCTTCAGGATCTTCATGTTCTTGTCCAGCTCCGTCCCCTCACGGTGCTCTACTTTAATCTGACCTGGTGGGGTTTGGAGTTTGTTCAATAGCAGCTCACGTAATAGTGCACAGGGTAGCTTTCAACACACACTGTGGATTGTTTTACTATAAAGGTATAGTTAGAGATGTCACACTGATGTTGTTATACACAGAAAACCTACAGTATTTCCTGACAACTGACTATGACTGACTGACATGGACCTGTGTACCTATTTGTTCATGTATGAGTTTCTTTATATCTACATTACATACTCTCCAAGCTTATTTTCTTCTGCTGCATGGTAGTGTACTCTATCTGCAGTTTGAGCATGTCCTTGCTGTTGGCCTCTATCTCCTGGCTCAGTCCTACTAGAGTCCTCTGCCGTTTCATCCAGAGCTGCTGGTCACTCTTGATATTCGCTGCCAGCTCCTCGATCTGAGTCATTAATGCCGCCATCTTGATTTGCAGAGGACTCAGGTCCTCAGTCTGGGAATCGAGACACACAAATCACAAAGGTAGCATGTTGAGATAGTTTCTGATGAACTTATATTTCACATAAACAACAGACAGCCAGGCCTCACTGCTTCCCCCAAAAGCTCTCACCCCAGTTTTTTCTGCGATTTGATGGATCTTGTTGTTATATCTGGACATGGTAGCCTGCTTCTGCCCGATGAGTGTACCAAAGGAAGAGCTCTTAGCCTGGTTGATTGTCAGTGACTCGGTGTACTTTGCGATCTCCTCATCGAGGCCCTCCTGGGTGAGTGTCAGGCTGTCCAGATGTTGGCCGACCTCGCTGCTCTCCAGTCCCATCGCCACTACATCGTTCTCCAAATGCCACAACTGAGAGAGCTAAAAGGGAGGAAAAGACGACGAGCAGATCAAATATGTAATATCTTTATCCTTAGCATATTTCATGAAATGTAATATTACAATTGTCTATCTTCAGCACTGCATACTTTTTGCATTTTTGGCATCTTCTTTGCCATTCACGCTAGTTCCCTAACTGTGTGGAAGTCCTTTAACAAAGACAAGCCCCGTTTGAAAATGAAGATCTAAAATATGCTGTAGATATTAAATGATATGATAATGTTAATGAAAACATGATTGCTTATGTGTACATGGAAAGACTCTCTGGAAAAGGACTTTGGTGGAAAGATCTTTGCTTTCAGAGTGTTATGCACCTTTGGACTCAACGATGGTCAACCTTCTTACTAAGCTTTCCCATGGCCTGAAACCATCGGGGGTCTGCAACCTTTGATGATGCATCACCGCATCAAAAGGCAACGTGCATAGCAACATTTTCTAAAAATCCATTTTCTCGGATAATCAGGATATTGTGATTATATATGAGAGCACTTTACAATAAGGCTGGTGTCCTTATGAAAGCGTCCACGTCCGAGTTGAGATCATTAACCCTGCCAGCTTCCAATCTAGTTCATCAGTAATAAACTTCTTATCTTTACCTTCTGCTTCTTGAGCGTGGCTATCTTGCCGGTGAGCCGTTGCGAGTACTTGGCAGCGTTGTTGTGGGTGAGCTCCTGCTGGATGTGGGTCATGATCTTTTCCTCCGACTCCAGACGCAAAGCGCTCTCTTTCTCCAACTGCCTCCTCTGATCGTTCACCTCAACATGGTGGGCGCTGATGTCCTAGATGCAGGAAAATAAATGGCGAGCCGAAACGGTTTCAAACAGAAGGTAGGAAGATATTGTGACAAGACACCTCTGTGAAAACAACCAGGTGCAGAGCTGTGAAAAAAGGAGACTTTGTCCTCTAGCTACCTTAGAGAGCCTGGCGAGGGTGAGCTCCGTCTCCCTCAGAGTGCGGAGGCTGGTGCTGTAGTGGGCCTGCAGAGCCTCTTGCTGGGCCTGCTTCTGACTGATCAGCTTTGTGGATGTGGCCCCGTCCGTCTGGGACCCCTTCAGCTGCATAGTTAGTGTCTCACTTCGCTCTTGCTCTTCAATAATGGATCTCTTGTAATCTTCAATCTCTCTGTCCATCAAAATCACCTGGTGCTCAACGGTGCTGATGGAAACAAGGGCAGCAGTAAAGAATGAATAAATGCAGATTTCATTTTAATCTCAGGTTAATAATGTGTGTCCTACAAATATTGATCCTCATGCAGGAAGTGATATGAGAACAAATGTCCTCTTATTGTTGTTCGTATCCATGACTTGTTCTTATTTTGTTACCCATTGATTTCTGGAATCCATCAACGTTTTCTTATTTTTTGCTCTTCTCTTAGGTAAGAGAACATTTTATGACAGCATACTGAAAGAGATAAGACTTCTTTTCACAGTCTGCAAATTGTTTGTCCAACAAAAGGAAACCCTTGGATGATTTTGCTTACGGGCTGCTCTCTGATGTTTTTTGATTCTCCTGTAACACCAATACTGACACTCTTTAAAATCATGTTTACTTTAAGTGTTTGTAAGATTTGAAGTTTCTATATTTAACTATTGCTGAGTTTCTTCTTCTTATAACAATTTTTTTGGCTGCATCGCTCCAAAACATTTGGAGCTGACTTTTCTTATTCTTTTCTCTCAACCCAAAATTAAGAGAAAACATAAAAACATTTTAAGAGAATGTTTGCAGCATGGGGCCCATTGTGTTTGATTTAGCCTTGAAAGCAGAGGCTGAGGCAAACCAACTATCTATCACTGCAGACTGACACCACGATGCTGTCCATGAATCATGTCTCCTGTAGGGCCACGTTGTTACTCACATGCAAGTTGGGAATGCATCAGGACATTTGAAGTGTATCAGTAGCCTATTCACATTCAGCCTTTCGTTGCCCTCATTCTCACCGCATGGCCTCTTGCATGGCGCTGAAGGCCTCGTCTCGTTTCCTCATGCCCACGAGGCAGCTGCTCCACTGCTGCAGCAGCTGTTTACGCGCTATCACCAGAGACTCCATCTCCATCTCAGCCTGCACACACACATGAATGCACGTGTCGTGACTAATATTGTGTATATACATATACATCAACAACACTCATAGAATATGAGAATATGCATAGTACATATATATATATAGTAAATATGACATTTTCAACCATGACATCCCAATTTTTATAAATTTGGTAAGAAATATCAATATTAACAGCAGCATTGATGCGTTTCATATCCTTTAGTTTATATACCTTATGCTATAATATGGTTACCTCAGAGTGAGCCTCTTTGGCCGCCTGTGTCTCCTCTGCTTGAGCTTTGGCCTGGGCCTCATACAAGGCTATCTGCTGCGTCTGCCTCTCCTTCTCCTTTGTTAGACGCTCCACATATAAATCCTGATGGCACAGGAGTGTTTTCAATCAATAACATTTAATGCATCAACGATAGTTCCTAATACAGTCAAGACTTTGAAAGATCTGCAGGAGTCTGCCCACCTGCTTCAACTTCTGATCTTCAGCCTGGTTCTTCACAGCTCTCGCTTTGCTTCTGGCATTCTTCGTGGCTTTGACATTTGAGCGCAGATCTTGACTGACTCCTCGTGTGAAGGCGAGCTGCAGCATCAGGTCGTCTGTCTTCGCTTGTAACTGGGACACTATGGAGAAGATACACAGGAGTCAACAAGGACACAACGGACACATGGACTGAGACTGGTGCTGAAACAATAACTGTACAGCTCTACCACTTTAAAAACAGATGTATTTTCAGGATTTCATATTTTCTATTGTAAATTTGACTATTATTATTATGTCACTTGAATTTTGCACCGTTGATTTTTATGCACTAAATCGCCAAGACAAATTCCTTGTATGTGGGAACCTACCTGGTAATAAAACTGTTTCTGATTCTGAAATAATTGGACTGTGCTATAACAAGGATGAAGCTTCAATTCAAATAATAGGTTTAACTGCTCAATCTTTAGCAAAAATAATGTAAACCTGAAACCTAATTTGATTTAAGATTTTATAGTTTAGGAATGTAATCAAGCTTTGAACTGAGGAAAAGTGTAATGATGATAGATCAAAATCCAGACCCATGTTTCTCCACATCCACATGGTTTCTACAAAGACAATCAATTTCTGCAGCTGTATCCCTTTTCAGAGATTGAGTTACCATCATGAGCAAAGCAAGTGAGGTTACAATAGACTCAAACTCTATGCTCTTGGGTGTGTCTATACTTCTGTGCCTGAACAATGCTGCACAGACAAATGCCTATTGACGACTCTTTTCAGACCAAATGGCAAATCAGTCTCACCATTGGCTTTGGCTTTGTCGTTTTGGCTGGTAATCCTGGAATGCTGGCTCTTCATTGCCTCCAGCTGATCTTGTGTCTGTTGATGTTTGGCTTCAGCCTGTGCCTTAGCATGATGACGGTCATCCAGTCTGGTCCGGAGTCTGGCCAGCTTCTCCTGAACCCTGAACGTCTCAACACCTAGCTCCAGTTGGTGTTTAGCATCTGCCTTCACCATTGCATGCTGAAGCAGTGGGAGAGAGTACGGACTCTGACTCCTTTAGTCACACACACACACACTCTGGGTCAAAGACATTTTGCTCCAATTATTGATATTTGGTGATTTCATTGGGCTATTATTATCCATCATTTTTAAGTCAACAGCACCATCTTCTAGACATATTGTGATTCTATAGATGTTAAGTCAGGGAAACTTTACCTATTTGTGTTTATGAATGCCAGCCACGACAGCAATGCTGGCATTGTTTTTTTTGTTATTGTTGAGTGTTTCATGACAGCAAGAACACCCTGAAGACACCTACTGTAGCGGGAACTACCACAGAAGAGGTTTTGAGTACTTTGCCAGACGTTTATATTCCTGCACACAGATTTTGTCACAGCGATAGCGTAACGACAGTGCAAGATGCAGTCACAAACTTTACAGGTGTGTAATTGAGATCCAAATAAAGGCTGGGTTTGAAGATGGGTGTCGTCCGAGCAAGGGGGCCAGAAGTATTGGGGGGGGGGAAGTAACAGAAAAGTAGCCAACCTTTTGGTTCAGTTCCAGGTTGATCCTTTCCAGCTGCTTTCTGAGCTGAATGTTGAGAGCAGTTCGATGCCTTTTGACCAGGGGCTGCCAAAAGATTACATATTACAACATTAACATAGCTTTAGAGGGCCGTGCTGCTGACGCATGAGCACACTGTGTATTTATTGGAAAGCACAACCTAGCTTTTAAGTGGTACCAATGTACCGAATTCACACAGGTGAGACACCATTGAGGCACCATTATTCTCTTTTAGGAGCAATGAGGCAAAATCTATTCATTTAATAAATACTGATTGAATAAATATTGAAGGAGAAGCAACAGACATGTTCAGGGTCAAGAACAATTAACTCGTGGTCCTCTCTCTCCTCTTCCTCGTCCTCCGGCAGCGTCTCTCGATCCTCCATGTCTTCTGATATGTTAAGGTTTGAGAGGTGAAGTGTTAACGGCGCTTGAGCTGCATTTCCTTGCACTAAAACACAGAAAAGACATTCTTTAAAGTTTATTAAAACTTTTACAGACATTTATTTTAATGAAAATCTTTGAGATTATTACTTTAACCAAATGAAAAATGCATGTGAACATATATAAATATTGCTCAATAATATATAACATGTAAATACGTTTTTGGAACTATTTTTTGTCCGCCTTCAACTGTCTTCTAAATATTATTTCTGTTTTTTTCTCTCCATGTACTCACTCGCGCCCTTGTTATTCTTTTTTATTGCAAATGTGTTTAGGGACAAGGAAGTTAATGAAGGCACTGTAATCTTACGGCACAGTATCTTGCCCTTGGACAATAAAGTTTTGTGTATTAAATTAAAATGTATTACAAGATAGTGATGGTTCTGTGGACTCAGGAATCCTAAACAAACCAGCCTTAATGAGCAGTCTCACTTACTGTATGTAAATTGTACTGATTTATGTGCTTCACTTGCCAAGTTAATTCCCCTCAGGGTGATAAATGATATAGTATTGAACAGTGCTCTGCTGCGTCATACCGTGTTGCTTTGGACTCAATAGTAACTTACAAACAGGTAAAGTGACAGACCTGAATGTGTGGATGCAGGTGAGTAGTCATCTGCACCACTGTGGTCAGGGTGAGGCTGGAGGGACGGGTCCTCAGGCTCTGGTCCTGGGTGATTCTGTGAGCCACAGATAGAAAGCACATATAAAGGTCTTTGACACTGAGGATTTAGACACACATTACATGGACACATTTTAGACTTTTACAGGAACTGGCCATCGCTGTCCTATAGGACTAACATTGTACAGTATAATGGGCTTGATCTCATTGTAAACGTATATTATGTGCACCCAAAAACAAAGACTACAAGTGCAACATCACACCTGTGGACAAAAGATGAAATACATATCCCCATGTCTCCACAATAAGTTGATAAAGAAGTGAAAAATGAAACGCTAGAGCATAGCTCGACTCTTGTTTATTCCTGACAGATATCATACCGCTTGAGCAGGTGGAGCGGTCGCCTCACAGTAGATACTCTGCTGCTTTGTCATTTCCATCCTCAGTTTGTCTGGAGCTTCCTTCCCTAACCTCCTTCCTCACCTTCAGCGCTCTGCATTGGACCTGTGATGACGAAAAAGAGGTCTGACGCTAATGTTAGCTGTTTTTGTGCGAGCTATTTTTTTTTTTTTCTTCTCCAACTGTTACAACTTAACGTATTACGTCTATTAACGTCTTCTATTTCTTTGTTTTATATTTTCACTTGAACACAGTAGAAAACCCGCCTTCCATATCTATGTGGTACAGAAAAATTGAAAAACCTCAAAGCGAATAACTCGCATTAAGTTAACCAAAGGTAGCGCAACGGTAACTTGTAGCTAGTTAGCCAACGGTCAAACCTTGAAACAATTTCGCGTGAGCTAACGCTCGAAGTGTAACTCAGTTACAACAGTCGACCGTAGCTACTTAAATGAAAGAAATACTACGTATATCTGAATACAATCCAAACAATGCTTTCCCTTTAATTTTGACAATACTTACCACCTTACAGTATCACTGATAAACCAGCGCACTGGCAACCGTTGCTTGGCAACCGTAAACATCCGTAGGAGGAGTAGAAGCAGTGCTCATCATCCCGCGTGCATTACCGTTAGCTCCATTGTAATGGCCAATTGTGTGCATTTGACCTTTCTGGTTGAATCTAGTGCAACGTTACCAAGTGATTTTGGGTTCCTAGTGTTTGCTAAACTCCAAAAGCATTTAAGACAGAAATGGAAGGCAGAGTTTTATAGTCTAAATAGTTATTACTTTACCCCACGAAGTACAAGTAGTGTACTACACCACGTTGTGCCACTTTCAAATTACAGAGATAGTTATAAGGAACTCTAAATCCAGTTTTTAAAGAGAAAACCCATGATGCGTTTTCTATATTTGATGTGTTATAACTTTAGCTACCGAACACTGTATTATGTATGTATTAGTAATCAAAATACAACAATGCATGATAATGACAGACAGGGGCCATTCTGCTGCCTAATAAAGTATTTTCCATTGAACACACTAGAAAAAGTTTTTGACTCTGTAATAGTACAAAGTAATCCAGATTTGCATCTCAGAATGAAAAGAATTTAAAAAAAAAAAGGCTTTCATTGACTTTTGCTTTTATTTTGCTGTATAAATAAGGCAGATACACATTGGCTAATCACTGAATTTGGCCTTACAATTTCATAATCTCAAAAAGTAATTAATAATTCACAGATACAAATCCTGACATTATCTTCATACATCCTCAACAATCTTATTTCATTTAGTTTATTACAAAGATGTAGACAAAAAAATACAATAACCCACCTTGTGTAGTGATTCAAAAACAAATACTTAACAAAAAGTTGACAAAGCATAGAGGGAAAGACAATCATACAGAAACAAATCCATCTCATGTTACAGTGCTTTAGTATCCTTAGAGAGCAAAAGATAACAAGGTAAGAATTTCTGTAAACAATGTTAATGCAGGTATTGCAGCGCATTTGTAAATATTACCTCACAATGCAATATCACTACAGGGTGTGTACCTTTGAGCAGAGAGAAATCTGGCACTTTAGGCCTAATCAAAGGACTTTGGTATATTTAGAACTACGACACTGTTAAAAAGGTACATCAGAAAGGGAACCTGAAGATAAGGCTACATTATTGGCAATATATGCTCTACTATACAGTACGTACTCTCACTTCATCAAATTGTTGTACATACAGTATAGCTGGTAGAGGCTTTTTAAAGCACTGTTACATATCAAAGTTGGTCATTTAAATGAACTTCCAACAATATCATTAACACAATTAAGTAGAAATGATGTATAAATAAATACACCACTTTATACGATTGAATGACACATCTGGAAAAAGATATGCAAGATGATATAGTGTACATAAGAAAACAAAAAGATTTTGTGCAATAATCTGCATACCACAGTCAAAATGTGACTGGGTAAACACTATTGTCATACAACAACAATAGGAACCAAAACTATCCACACATACATTCAATAGACATGTTAGAGGTCCTCTCATCAGACATTTGCTTTTATATAATATTTACAGTATACACACGACCCTACTATAGCGATTTTATCATTGCACTTATTTTGTATGTGTATTTGTAATTAGTATGGAATTTACACAATGCATGACACTTCTCCTAGATAACATGTTTACTGCTCTTGAGCATTATTTCAATATAGACATGGATAAGGACATCATTGGCATAAAAAAATGGTGTCTTGGCAAATGAAGCGAGGTGTTCAGGATGTGGTCACAGCACAAATGAATACTGTCAACTTTTAACACCCGATGAAAAACTGCTGACATAAAGCCACTTAAAGGTGTAATGTTTATATGGTAAATAAATCTATCAAGTATTTGAGCTTTTCTAATATACTTTTCTTAACCTGCTTACACTTTGTTGTTTTCATTCTCATCAATGGAAATGACAACATCACACCATAATCATTCAAAATGAAACCCTTCTAATTTCAACATACTATCATATCGTAAAACTCCACTTACTATAACAAAGGGGCTACCAGGCTCCATCTCACTCCCTAGCCTTAGCAGAATCTTAGCAGAAATTATGTATCCCTATATACTCCCCTTATTAACTTTTACCAACCCAAATTCTGAGCCAAACATGACTCTTCACATATCAGTCCCTAGTCAATAGAGTTTCTTACAGTTGTATAAATCCTTCAAAGACAAAATCACCTTTTTCTCAGGCAGCAAGCAACAGTTTGTCTTTAGTGTTTCCTCGGACGTCTCTACCTTGTTCTTCTTAAATTCATAGGCTTTCCTCTACGGTAATGGATTTGAATTAGCGTCTGATATTTTGACTTTGGCTCCAGTCCCAGACTTCACAAGCAGGAAATATTGTAAACAATCTTCATGGTTGGCTGGTGCCGTCCTTCTCTGGAGGGGCAGGCTCTGGGTCCACTGTGAGGCCAACTAAGGGTCCGCCGGCTGTGCGTGGGTCCATTGCAGAATGCATGACAGTCAACCATACATCGTCCATGTTTGGCATTACAAAGATTTTCTAAAAGAGGAGAGTGAATGACGGAAGGACAGTGGGTGGTCTTTCAATTTTTACTATTCGTAACACATGGGATGTCTTAGAATTTGAACCACAAATAGTGAGCACATAATAAATACCAGTAGGTTATGTGCAACTGTTTAAAAAGGGACAGTGCGTAGGATTTGGCCGCATCTAGTGGTGATGTCGCAGATTGAAACCAACTGAATACCCCGCTGCTCACTCCTCTCGTTCCAAAACTATGGTAGCATGAGCCGGCGGTACAAAACCGTGGTTTTCCGTTGGCCTCGCTCAGAGGCCATCCTTACACTAATAACGCTACTTTGATCTAGGAGTTGAATATAATTTGAAAATATGACAGCATTTCAGGTCAAATGCAATTAATTTCAATGGAATGGATGCAGGGAATCACATGGCGACTTCAACTTTGGCAAACTTTTAAATTTTTCTATCCCTAACCCTGTCATCGGTGTTCAAGTGTCTAAAAATCAAAATGTAGTGTTCCTCAATACCTGGAATTCCTGGTCCAGTTTTTTCTCGATCCAGTCTGTAACGTGAGCCAGAGTCACTTCTCTTTCCCCCAGTTTAGGTCGCGCTTTCAGTTCCAGGTGAGGCGGTTTCCTGAAGCCATACCTGCAACAGAACGGTCAAAACACTCAAAGATTACCTTATAAACATTAGTAAGAGATGACAAATGAACAAATGGACATTTTTCACAGCATACATTTTGGCCTGTCCTAGCAGGAAAAGCACAGGTGTAATTGATAACATTTGAAACCACTGCATTCCATCAGGTGAGGTTAAGGCATTTTGTGTTAAGTATGTTTTTCACAAGATAAAATTAGCATCCCAATTAATATCACAGTGAACATGAATTACGGATTCACCTTGCTAACCAAACTGGCTAGCTAGCACTGGTGTCAGCTTGTAACTCAGCAATTGCTATGCTACACAGTACATGGCCCCGCCAGGCAAAACTCTTCCCCAGCTCCACCCTCTTGTCCAAATGTCATCACTTTAGCCTTCAAAACACCAAGATGGCAACAGTTAAAATATCAATCTCAAGGCTTTAAAACTGTAGACCACAAACCAATTGGTGACATCACGGTGGCTCCGTTCAAATCTTGTATACAGTCTATGGTCCTGGTAATGTGCATGCTGGCTCGTTGTCACTGCTTACTGTGATACTGGATGGAAATGAGTCATTGCTAATGAAATTTGTTTCACCTTTGCTTTTCCTGTTATGACAAGTCAAAATGACTGCTTTGAAAAAGTCTATTGATGCAATTGTATGGTCACCACCAGCAGAGGGCATTGACGTTTTAAACAAAGAATTGAATTTTTCAAATAAAACATGCAGGTGTGGAGTAGACTGAATTTCATTTGTTCTGATAACAGATACCCTCCCTGTGTATGTTGGACATGAATCATTCCACTCTTTAGAAATACAATTATGTAAATGTCGACACGAGGGAGGAAATCGGCTAATTAAGAGTCACCTGAAAGCCATTTTAACCAGCAAGAGTCAGTTGTGTTTTCCTTCGGTGGGAAAGTGCTATCTTTGAGAAAAGGTGTGATTATTTGTCAGTCTGACAAACAGCATTTCACAAATGAGTTAGTAGAAAAACATCCCTCCCTTTACGTACCATATCCTGTCAGTGGGTGGAGGCGGTATGTTGACAGCCAGCATTCCTCTGAGTTCCTGCACCTCCACTGTAAGCAGGAGCGGTGTGTTAGACACTTCCTCCATCTTCTTTTTGATGAACTCTGTTTCTGTGGCCTTCTGGAAGTATTTGGACTTGGTGATCTTGTCCACGAAGCGCATGATCTTGCTGGGTTTGTGGCCTCCAACGAAACTGTATTCAATAAAGGATCAGGGTTAAATTCACATATTGAATTTAGTATGGCTGGGCGTCAATGAAATCTAATGATACAATTTTTTGATAACTGATATTAAATATTTTTGATGAATTCCTAGCCATGCCTGGCAATATATTGTTGGAGGACAGTTATGTCTTCTGTCCCAATTTAAGTCATTCTAAGTCTCAGTATTTTCACCTCCCTCAAGTTTATAACAAGAAATCTTTTGTCTCCATTTTTTCCTTAAATGACTACTACGTACATGTAATATCATTTTGTGATTATGGAATTGGATTAAGTGAGCACAGAGAATGTATATAAACTCAATCTCACCCCTCTGCTCCAGCCGAATCATTTGAGAGATCTGAGGCATCTTCCTCATCGGATGAGCCTGCGCTGGACGACTCTTCATCACTATCAGCCAGGCAGTAAGTCCGTGGCCTGTATCTGGAAATACATAAACAAACAAAAATGGATTATGGTGGGCACACATGCACACACATTTGCATGCATGCAGCAAAACATGCAAATGCTGTGTTTCATTGTACAGTACCAACAAAACAATGAACAGATGAGGTATGTAAACAAGGTGACACAAGTGTACATGACCCATGTGTACAACCTAAACTTCTGGAAACATAACCGTTTAGAGATAATTCAGTAAGTTTCCACCGGGTTAGGTATTTTTATTTTTTTTACTTTCAGGAGTCATTTGATGTGAAACTGAAACTTTACTTGTTTCCTGAGCACTAGCAAAAAAAGAGCTCAGTTCTCATTTCCTGGCAATCAATCTAGCCCTGAGAGGTACATACTTTACATGCATGCATACTGTATTTTATGGATGAACCAATCCAATATACCAGATAGCTATTGGTAGCGGGAGGGAAAAAGTTTGATTGGTGCATCTTGCAAATTTACCCTGACAAATATGAACCTTTTCTGTTTGTTGCTGAGAATGAATTTTGGGGTTGTACATAGTGTGTTCAGTGCCTTCATCTGTGTTTCTGACTGAGAAAATTAATACTGAATTAGATGAAGAATTGGGTGGTAACATGAAATGAGACAACCCCAAAACTAGAGAATGAGAGTTGAACAGAAAGATCATGGTTGAAAGTCAAGCAGCACTCACCAAGAGCAGAAACACATCCGATTAACAAGGTGGAATCCAGAAGGTAGAGAGAGAATATCAGAGAAAAGAAAGGAGAAGATATGAAAGACAGCAAAGATATAGAATACTAAGTGAGAGCCAGACAGAATGTGGCAGACACCTGACAGAGACACATATACCTTTTAGTGTCTAGTGTCTTGAAGCTTTTCTCAAATCTGTGTGTTTAACTGTCTCACCCGTCTTTGCCAAATTCCCCAAAGCGGACACTTTCTCCCTCCTTGCCCAGACGAATGAGGTTCATCTTGGTTTCCAGGGTCATCAGAAAGGAGCCACTGTAGGAAATCTCCAGGTCAAACCACAGACCTAAAGGGACACAGTGGTTATTAGAAATGCTGATGTGAGAGAAATTTGAAAAAGTGAAACTGTAAAAGTGGAAGATTGGGTGATACATATGCAGTAAAATAGATGAATTTACTGTCATGTCACTATAGATACACACAAGCATCGTCATGTTACATTAGTAAAAAAAAGTACCTGTTGACAAATATCTGTTTTGATCTCATCGTGTTGTCCAACCCTGTTAACAAGTTAAATCAAGGTAGTTTTAAGGCCAGTCTGCTTGACACAGACAGCACCTAAGGCCACAGTCCATCTCCCTGCCTATTACATCTCTCCATCTTTCCCTTACTCCTTGGTTTGCCTACCTCTAAGCCCCCCCCCCCCTTCATTACAGAAGTGGGAAACACAGCAGATTTAATTTTCTTGATCCCCAAGCCTCGACGAGAAAGACATGATTACATGTTCCTGTGTACAGAGAGCCACAGCCGATCCTGAAATTTGGTGTGGTTTCTCTTTGCACCAGTGGGAGGCAGCAAAGTATGAACATTGACACAGGAAATCTGAATGAGGTGAGGAGTGAGTGAGTCGGAGGATGACAGCCATTCTAAACCAAAACACATAGCACTTTGCTGCAACTAAGACGCGTCTACATGTATTCAATGCAAAGTGTGTACAAATACATGGTGCGACATTTAGTGCACAGCTACCAGTCCTTTTCAAATCAGATTTCAATCGCTTTCCTGACAAACGCATACATGGCCCACAAGTCGTCAGATAGGATCAAGAAATGTAATACTGGAAGGCAAAAAGAAGAAAAACAGCAGAGACTGGGTGTCCTCTCCTCACTGCTCTAGTGACGCCCGAACACCAGCTGGTTGTGCCAAATTATGCGATAATGCAATGAGTCTGTTGTGCCAGAAAGAAAAACATTCAGAGTGAGAGTGAGTCAAACAAAAGTGGAGGAGAAATCAAAGCAGAAGACATTCAGAGAAGGTTTGAGGAAGCCCTCAGAGAAAAATAGAGTCAGACAGTCAGACACAGGGTGATCAGGCTGGGTCTGCTGAACCCAGTAGGCCTTACCCGCCTGTCATGGGGTGGCGTGATGGATAATAACACCATGTCTGGCTGGTTCTAGGTTTATGCAGGGCACTGCGGTTTGTTAGTTTGGCAAGAGGAGAGCCTCAGTGCAAGCTGCTTGACACAAGGAAGTGCTACCTTAATTGGAGTAAAGCTGTACAGGGAAGAGTTAGGAGTGTGTGTTACACATAATGCCAAGAATTGCCTTCAATGCAGAGTAAGTGCAAACACAAATAAGCATTGAACACAACTGCACAGGCCTGCAGAGACAATTTCTTGTGGAGATATGTGCACATACACAGCTGGAAAGGTTCATTGATCCATTGCACTCAGCAAAGGAAGGAGCTGGGTCAGACAAGGTGAAGGCAGAACCTGAGACAAAAGGAGGATACAGCCACTGCAACACCCGTGGACATCTCCAAAGGGAAACTAAACTGACTGGTTCTACTCAAAGTTTTAGTACTACCACTTCAAGGTAAAATGCTATTGATCATAGAAACACACTGCAGAGAAAGTCAATATTTCATTCCTCATTTCTGCTGAGGTGTGAGCTGTAGGAACATGCACAAGGCTAAGAGGATCAAATACCTTCATTTATCTTTTGTTTGGAGCATGTACCCCTTTCCTGCTTTCTTTCACTTCCAAGAAATAGTCTAAAAATGAAGCACTTTTATGTTTAAGACTGATTTGGAAACAAATTGCAGTTTTTTAATGAAAGTGCAATTGAAGCTGATGACCGATCCACAACATTTACAAAATGATGGCCTTTATACACCGACTGTGTTTGAAGTGGCAGTTGAGGTGTGTTTTGGGCTTCCACACCATTGCCTTGTCAGTGGGAAATGCAATGAATTGTTGCTCTCATTATCGGGTTATTATGGAAGTACTGCAGTGATAAAAATGAGGCAGTGACTCATGACAGGAGGGAGGAAGAGAGAATGTGAAACTAAAGTGTGAGTAAGGACACAAAGAGGAATGAAAGGGAATGCAAGAGGAAGAGAACTATTTGGAGGCTGTACATGTGAAACAGCCGAAGAGACAGATTTGTCACTGAATGTAAAGGAGATGAGAGAGGCAATGTGGGACAACGTGATGGAAAGCTCAATGCTGAAGCTTGTCTAAAAAAAAGACATGGAAAGCTCCTTCTGATCAAAACTAGAAAACAGTCAGCTGAAAACTTATGGGCTACTTGAGTCAACATAGTTGCACAATTGCAACAGGCAAATAATGTATAGTCCCTCACAAAGTTAAGACCTCACATAGCTAAGGCTCCATTTATCCGATCCACAGATGCCCGGACCAGAAGACCTGCTAAAGTGCTTAGGGCCTCACTCTATTGTACTCAGCTAAGACGTCACTAACCAATCAAATTCTATTCTGGAAGCAAAGCCTTCAATTATGAAGTGTTTCCCAGGAACTACAGTGCACAACACCAGATTTCTTCATATCAATTGAGCACACATGCCTTTTTGTAACACTTGCAACAATACCCTATTGAACTCTGAGCAGTGTTACTGCTGGTCAGACCGACAGGCAGCAGCTGTAGAGCAGAGGAAAGGTTTGTACTTTGACCCTGACTGCTGCGTTATTATTATTGCATTCTAATTGATTGTTAGCAATGTGTGATGGTCACCATTGTAAGCATCTCAGTCTGGACGGTGTTGTTTTCAACAGAGCTTTAGGATGGAGAGCATGTCATCCAGACACAGCCGCAGCACTGTGATCTCATTAGTCACAGCAGGAGGAAGAATGGAAGCAGTGGCCAGTCATGAGACAAGATGTCACTTCTGTCCATGTGTGTATGCAATGCAGTAGATTGCAAAAAGTCTTCACCTCATTTGACATGTCACACTACTTCTTGTACTGCAAGATTTTGAAAATGAAATAATTTGGATTTTTGGAGAGATTGTGACAAAGTTCAAATTTTTGTTATGAATTTGAGTAATATGAGTACTATGGGTTAGTGATAATACACTGTTGGTTTGGATAAGTGACCTACAGAGGCCAGTTTAAAACACATACGGTCCAATACATACTGAAATAACACACTAAGACCTTATCCATCACAGAAGCATTATGTATAATCATTCATTATAACCCATTTCAAGATAGTTGAAATTAATTTAACTGCCTAGTTTACCTTAGTTTACTCCTCAGAGCATGGCATTGACGCAGTTTGTGCACTAACAGATGGAAATTGTGAAATCAGGCATGAGGCATGATTCTTCTTCTTGTCTACTCTACATACACTGTAAGTTCCAGTCAAGCTGCCGTTAGCCACTTTCTCCTGTGTGTGTTTGTATGACACAGCTGGAGTTCACACTTTATTTTTACCCTCCAAAATGCTATAGAGTGATGAGTTGAGATGGACTGACATAACAACATACAGTGTAAAGAGAACCAGTAGAGATTTAAACCTGCAGGAACTGTCCACACCTCTGTGATCAGAAGAACTTGCATACAGTTACCAAGTATTGATACCGTGAATATCGCTTTCTTTTATCTAGGTAATAAATAAGCCTTCCATGGGCCTTCATTGTCCTCCTCCTGCATAATAAATTCTTTGTTATTTTGATGTCCTTTGTTTGATCTTTGGAAATTAAACTCAAAATCCTTGGATCGTTTCATTCATTTTGGTATTTGTTTTGATAGCGGATCAGTTTGAAAAATTGCGTGATTATTGGAAAGAGAAGAAGCCGCCACAGTGAGCTGTTAAATGAAGAGCTGCCTCGTGTCGTGTACAGCATAGAATAAGATCACACAGGATGATAGAAAAAGGCCGGCCTTCCATAATAGAACGACAGTAGTTTGTTTTATAGCACCTGTAGTATTAAATTGCGTTTGCTGTTATCACCAGTAAATAGGGTGTCGCTAAAAAAAAAACCAGGCATGAAATCTTAAGGATTGCCACTTTAAAGTTAACAATGAAAACAACAGACTAGACTGTCTGAAATGTTCAATATAATCTGATGACTAAAACTATATATCGGAATGAAATGACTTTTAAATCAACTAAAACTTGACTAAAGAAACAGGATGAGGTTGAATAAAACTAACAAGGACATTTGACAAAGGACTAAATAGTTGACAAAATGAATACAAGTCTGCACAATGCATGAAGTCATCCCAGAATACAGCGCATAGAGCTTAGTGTACCACACAGTTAGCTTTGCTGGCCAGTATCTCTTTACAGAAACCACTGAATGTGAGTGTTTGTGTGTGTTTGACATGGATTTCTCTCTTGCCTCTGTAGTCAATGGAGGGTTTGGATGCCCCAAGGATTCTGGGAGTGGCCGAGCCCATGTCCAGTTCTGTCAGGGTTAGCTCATTCATGAAGTAAGGCAACTGAAAAAGATAAAAGCATGCAACTGAGCCGAGCAAACCGTACATGAATAATTAATTTGCAGATTATGACCTAATCAAATTGGGGGAAAAAACGCTGCAACACCTGATTTGGTGTGAATGCAGCGTTATGCATGGATGACGCACACTGCTTTCCGCCACACCTTATAAATAACTTTCTCTACGTGTCAATCCATTTTTGGACTGAATTGTGCCCAGTCCCTTTTCACTATTGTACCAAAACTGCACTATTACCTGTAGCTATTGCCACAGGACATTGTGGATAGTCATACAAACCAAAACACATATACAAGTTAGCAAAGTAGGTTTTTCCTGGGGGGCAGGATCAGAAAGAGACATTAGAACAAAGGGATGGAAGTGAAGGATGAGGTGTTTCCGTCTTTCTGCCTCTGCTTCCAAACCCAGTGTGGCGCTGCTCGGGGATTTAAAGAGGTGCACAGAGACACATTTGGAGAACTTAAATGTGTATGCTCTGTGGGCATGATGTTTCCATCACGATGGTGAGCATGACTCCTTTTATTTTTGCATCATCGCTACTCTTTACTTTTACTCTCTGTTGTCCGTCTGTTTAAATTTCAAGGATTTAGGGTGTTAGGACTGGCCTTGCTCCACTTACCCGTATCTTGCTGAGTTTCATCTGAATCTTCTTGGAGACCAGTTCAGCCCAGTAGGGCTCGCCCAAGAAGTCCCAGAAGACCCGGCCAAGAGCAGCATTAACCCAGGCAACAGTATCCTTCTCCTCCTCCTCCTCCTCCTCCTCCTCCTCTTCAACCCTGGGTTGTACCTGAGCTGGAGTTGTGGTTTGAAGCTTAAGACACAGCAGGCAAATGAACAAGGAGGAGAAAAGAAAATGAATATCCTATCTCTGTATAGGACTTTAAAACATTAACCCCCTACTATAACACTTGTTCTACTCCTGTGAGGATAAGCCATAATGTTAGATACTTCTTGTTGTTTGTAATTACACATCTTGTAAAACTGTAAGGTTAAATTGCAATTGGCATGGCATGTTTGTCCCCTAACAAAGCAAAAAGTGTTAATAGTATAAATGGAAAATAAATATATGTGCTACCTTCTTATCAGCCCCGGGGCTACTCTGAGGACTCTGAAGAGCAGGGCTGGCAGCTGCAGGGCTGACTACCGCCTGTTTTGGCAGTAAGGAGGCCATGTATACATTGTAGTCTAATAGCGATTTGGTTTTGGCACTGCCTGCTGGCACTGAGGCATCCTTTGATCTGGGCTGAGATGCCAGCGCCTCATCCAGACTGCCACGGCTGCTGCTGCGACTGTGAGAGCTCAGAGCTGTGGGCCACGGCAAATAAAAGGAAACGGTGAGGAATTACAAGACAAAATCTCTCAAATTGACTTCTGTTGCAGAGGGAGACAAATGACTTGCAGTAACAGAACATCAGTTTTGCTCACCAGTCTTAGTCCCAGCAGAACTTGAAGCTTTCCTCAAGTCCGCCTTTAGCTTGGAAGCTGATAGAAACCGCTGGAACCATTCCTCCTTCTCCCTCCCAGTCCTTCCAAACAGATAGAGGGTCAGGTCTCTACTGGACGAAGACGACCACCCTCGCTCCTGTCCTCCTCCTGTCCCCTCTCCTCGTTCCCTCGTGTTAAAGCTCTCACTGGCCTCCCACCGGTCCCCCTCGGCCTTTGACATGAAGTCATCCTGTTTGCCAAGTTCAATGCATATGGGGTATTTTTTATTCCACACACGTTTCCTGGCCAGGCTCTGAGGCGCTAGATATACCTGGGGGAGGGTTACAGAAGACAGACCCGAGTCAAACACGGTTGGGTTTCAACAAATCTCCAGCAAAATGTCATAGCTTTGAAAAGATAATTAGAGGGACATTTTCCGTGTTGTAGTATTTGTCATTATCTATCTAAAATCCAACATTGTTTAAGTAATAGCCTATTCTAATGAACCAGCCTGGAACTAGACTTACATATTTGTAAACTGACTTGTGTTACAGAACTAGTTCAACAGGTAACTACAGTTGACCTTTAACTCAATTACAGGAACATTAGGGAAAACATAAAAAACAAACAAAAAAAAAAACAAAAAAAAAAAAAACTATATCATCTAATTATGCCAGCGACATACTTTGCAGTTGGTGAGGTCATAGATCTTCTGACTGATGTAGGTAACTTCGGCTTTTGTTTCATTGTGTGTGGCACGGCGAGCGACATTATGGTTGGGTTTACTCAAACGAATGATGGAGCCCTCCAACCGGACATACACAGAGTGTGTCAGTGTGGCATGGTACGTCTCTGGGTCATAGTTCGATATATCATTCATCCAGCCCTGGGGGGGGGGGGGAAGACATTATACATGTTGATTACTTTTCAAGGCTTGAGTTCCAAAACTGTCATACTAGAAAACATGTGTATGCTTTTCTGCATTTAAAGAGAGAAATGCTTTTGAACACCTGCAAACATAGAAGACATAACAATTGAAAACAGTGCATGGAAAATTGCATATGCTATTTAAGATATGCATGTAAACTGCAACATGACTGGTTGGCGGAGGCATACAACTGGAAAGCAGTGATTCTAGTTTTTTTTTTAATTTACAATATGTGGCCTTAATGTATAAATGTGGGGTGGTACAGTAGAGCAGAATGTAAGAAGCAACATGGTCATTATACTGACAATAATAATAAGTCAATTATTAGTCCGATTTCATTTCCAAAAGTGGATGAAACTTTTGGCTCACACAAGTACTAAAAAAGGATGTTTTAATGGCATCAAAACATACAATCTAAGAACCCATCAGCTATCGGTCAAAGGGGGATTGAACCTCCAGGGGGCCAGTTTTTTGGCTAATAAAAAGCTAAATCGACATGAGATGATAGCAAATGTGTTCCAAGGCCTTTGCAGCATATAAAACAAATTCAACTAAGTTGGAAATGTTCACTGACCTTATGGATTTCTGGTTCCTTAATGTCCAACCTGGTCAGATTCCACAGCTTCCCATGTTGTCTGGACTGTCTAAAAGTACTGCCAGAAGGTTTTGGTCCTGTCAGCCACACAACACCAATGGCTAAAAGAAATCCCAGTCCAATCCCAAGCAGCATTCCTCCGATGTAACTCGGTAGAGGTAAAACAAAATACCCATAGACCAGAACAGTAAGGATGATAAGAGTATAGTGTGGAATACTAGGTGCTGGCTCTATACTCTCTGATTCATCTTCACTGAATGGTTCCGTACTACCACTTAGTGGCACTTTAGTTTGACTCCCAGTTCCAGTATCATCAGTTCTATTCCCACCATCGCCATCTGTGTCAGTACAAGTCTCAAAGTCCTCACTGTACAGGATGCAAAAGTCGTCATACTCTTGTTTAGCAAGAGCGGACATAGAGCATTTGTCTAATGACATGGAAAGTAAAGATTTGTTGGGGGTCTTAGTGTCAACAGAGGGGATAACGGGTGACTCAGCGGTACCAGAAGCCCTGCTGTTGGGGCTGGAGGCCTCTAGGTCACCTCCTTCTTCCTCCTTGATGCAGTAATTGTTGTTGCTTTCCAGGTGACCATTGACAGAAGTAATGTTGGAGAGTTCTGAGGCACTTGCAGAGAGGGACTTGGGCCGGTAAATACTGCTGCCACTCTTTTCATCTATCATCTTACTCAGCAGTTGGAGCGGCTCGGAGATGGCCTCAGAGAAACGCCGCTTAGTGTCTTCAATCCTTGCCTCAACCTCTGAGACTTTGAAGAAGCTGCGGCTATCTTGTGAAGTTAACGGAGAGGAAGGGGCGGTTTTAGAATCGCCGGCTGATGACGTGGTAGCAGACGGCATCCTGGACTGTGTGAATTGCTTGAAGAGTTGCAGGTTGAGGCGGGATTCTGGAAGACGGTAGGGTGTGGAGGAAGAGGACGAGTCCTGGGATGTATCTGAAGATAGAGATTTGACAAGACTCTTCATCAGGTGCCTGTGCCTTACTGTTGGAGCAGCAACAGCAGGGATCCCATCCCGAGACTCGATGTCAAATGAGAGAGACTTCAGCAAGCTGAGGAAGGGTTTGTCACTGGAGGGAAAGCTCAAAGATTTAGTGGGAGAGGAGTTAGACGTTGAGCCTTTTTGCTCAGCATTTTGAGATGACGAACGGTTAGTGCGATGTCTAGAAACCGGAGAAAGTCTGGATGCATCCTTGGCTGCAGATGTCGAGGACACGTCTTCAAACATCTCCTCACTTACTTCTAAGGCCGTCACAATGTTTGAGTCATCCTGATCAGCTGAGGTAGTGGGGACACTTGTCCAATACAGCTCTTCTTCTTCCTCCTCCTCCTCCTCTTCCTCCTCCTTCCCAAGAGCTGAGAAGTGGATGGTGATGGTGTCCTTTGATGGCGAACGCTGGACATGGAGCTTGGGGGAAGAGGCAGGTGGCTGTTTTTCTTTGGAGTGAGCGCTCTCTGCATGGCTGGGATGCTGGCTAGTCATTGCAGTCACACTGAGTCAGTCTGCAAAGAAGGAAAACAGAAGGCACGACATTAATTAACTGACTACAGTCAAAAAATAATCTGCTATTGACTATTTTGATATTCAAATAAACGTTTCAGTCGATTTTCAAACAACAATGCCAAAATATTCACTGGTTCCAGCTTCTCCAAAGGTGGATTTGCTGCCGTTCTTCATCTCGTTTGATGGTAAAATTAATATTTTGGGGTTTTGGACCTCAATATGATGGGCATTTGACTATTTGACTTTTTCAAGACAAAGCGATTCATCGATTACTGGGGAGAATAATTGGCAACTTAATTGCAGCCAAACGCTAAATTCAGTATACCATCGACTGTAGTATCTACAATTCAAAGCTTTCTGATCTGAGACATGATTTACTATTCATGAAAAACATGATTTGTTAAAAGTACTACAAATGCTTTTGTCATACATTTCCAAAATGGAAGGAATAATCTCATTACTTAAATTAAAAGAAAAAAAATCAAACACTTTACACATTCAGAGAAAATATGGAGTTAAATTGTTTGGAGTTGCTAAATGTTAAGCAAGTGATGGAGGCAAATTCAGCTTTTGTTTTTCGTGTTACAGGCTTATTACAAGGCAACTAGCCAGCATGCAACAGTTGGGGATACAGTTTTAGCCAGTGAGATGCTTTTGAAAGTAGACATTTGAACCAAGATTCTTTCATTAGTCCTCTGAAAAGTCCCTCTCATTGAAAAGGATTGCAACCAACATTAACTATCCAAGCAAAAGGTTTTGAATGTTGGTTAAGGAAGTCATCCCTTCACATTGCCTGAATTGTTTCTCATATTCAAAAATATCTTAACATGTACTGTACTATGTGAAAGCCATTGCTTAATTTGGGGTGACTTGGACGTTTGTGTATTTTGTAACTTATAGACTCAAAATGTGGGAGACGGGGCGACCAGATAGCCGAAGGGTTTGGGCGCATTCCAGATGGGCTCAAAGAAGAGAGTCCCAGGTTAGATTCCAGCCTTCAATTTCCCTACTCTCTTAATAAAAGGCATGCCCAAAAATAATGTGGGAGACACGGCTGCTCATAGTACTTGAGCCGACTATAAACAACATTTACCTATCTCTACATCATGAAAAACAGGAACAAGTCAAAAGGACACAGACAAACAGTTGTAGCATTCAAAAGGTTAAAAATTAGGGGCGGGCCACACCATGTATCTTAGCGTAAGCAGATTGCTGTCTGCACCCTCCCCAGGCAGGGACAACAGGACTGCGAGCACAATTAATGAATTAAATCAAATTAAAAAAGGAGATAATGTATCATATTCTTAAAAGACAACCTTTGATGACCATCTATCTATGAAGGCCAACAACGGTAAAGTAGGTTAGTGACGCAATTTCCAGACAAAAATGTGTATTTGTCTATGTATCCGTGTGGTAGTGTTGTATCTCTGAACCAGTTTGGTTGTGTTAGAATTCAGTTCAGCAACAATAAGGAATCTTAAATCACCAGAAACACGCACACACTCACACACCCCCAATCCCACTCACCACCTGCTGGCACTGTCGCAATTACCTACCACATACTGCTCAAATATTCAACAAAATCAAGGAGTCCAATAAGGAGCAATCAAAAGAAAAGATAGCTTGGCTAAAACAAGAATCGAGACTTGCTTGGCAATTGCCGCAATGCTTCCAGAGTCTTGATAGGCGTTTATAACTTAGTAATGTCCAGATAATAAATTGAAAACATCGCACAATTATGCAGATTGTTTGGTGCCACAACATGATGCCTGAAGTGCATTGGGTGATCAACAGGAGTTTTTGAAAGGGACAAAGAAAAGGACCCAACTTTATAAAGGGAACATTATTAAAGGAGCAAGGTGAATAGGCCGATGGACAGGTATTCAGAATCAACAGAGCATTCACAGGGCCAATTCAGAAATGTTTTTGAAGATTACCAACCCTACCTTCAAAAAAAAAAAAAAAAAAAAAAAAACAATGTTACACATCAGTCTGTTTACAGGTCTTGTGAAGTACTACTTTCTATGAGAAAAGTTGTAAAAAGCCATTTGTGGCGTCGGTTGCGTCTGAAGACTAGTTTAAAAATGGAAACATCTGGGGGTTTGGAGTTGGAAAAAAGAAAGGAGTGAGCTACAGAGTTCTGGTAAGCTCACTCTTCCTCTCTGTTTGAGGTTAGCAGCTCGAGGATACATTAGACGCTATTAGCACAGCGCCAGAATCTCTGACCATTTTTGGTTGAGTTGCACTGTGGGTAATGTAGACACAAGGTTGAGACAAGAAACAACAATGTGTGGAATACAAAAGACGATACTGTGTTGATTGCATTGATTTTGACGACATTGTCAAACATAGTCAATGATAACTAGGTGGAGTACTCCTTAGAGTAATTACACTTCCAGTTTATTCTACAAGCTTACGGCTGTCACTAGTGTGACAGCTTTATTATGCTGAGAACGTTTACGACCAAACCATTGGAAACATTATAAAAGGGCTTCACATAATGCTCTTTAAGAAACAAACACATTTCAGCAGAAGGCATAGCTTCTGTTAGGGTATTTTGTAAAGATCAGCTCAGCCCAAGAAAAGGGATGGGTTAAATACACAAGGAAGTAAGTGCACTATTTGTAGTCTGGCATTGTTATTGTTAAGAATTTGTGAATGAGTGTTTAGAATTCAGACTTCCAGATCTCCGAATATAGATGCATATAGCTGTAGTGTGCTTGTAAGCTGCCCAGTGTAATGCAGAGCAATGAGCTTATGGAAAGGAATTCATTATTAAGCTGTTTTTTTCCCCTAAAACTTGGTATGTGACATTTAGTAAAAGCCAATCATAAACAACACACACAACAAAACGAATGTTTGCTGTATTTCATGTTTGGAATGACATTGCTGCATACAGGTTAAATTTGCTGTATATGACAACACAATAAGATCAAACTGCTGCCTTCATTTACATCTTTATAACATCCTTTGGTAGTGAAAACACAATTATGGCATTATTGACATTTGGCAATAGCTTTCTCGTGTCTTGTCCGGACCACAGAGGTGGCCTGATCATGCTGGCTCACTCATAAACAGACACAACTTAGTCACTCATTGTCACATTGGTCACGAGTGAGCATGTTACCCAGCCAGGCAGTCTGCCAGCAGTCTGCCAGCAAAACAATGAGGCCATTCTAATGGATCCCCAGTTGGACATGGATTTTATTTCAACATGTAGGCCTCAAAGGACCTAGCAGTATTTGCCAACAGCATATTAGGATTAGTGAGTAAGTGGGGAAGTATGTATGTATGCATTTGTGTAGTCTGTAAGCTGATTCTATCTCCTAGTTTAACACGATGCAACTGAGCAAAAGACTGGGCATGTACAGTACGTCGGCATGTATTTGGCTGTCCATCCAAGTGTGTATGTGCACTGACAATTAAGTGCTAATTTGTCTTGTGTTCCCGGTGCCTTTCCCTGAGCCAATGAACAGCCTAAGAGGACAGTGAAGAATGAAATCTTGTCATTCATGGGGATGACGCAAATTACAGAAGGAGGCCAGCCTCATTAACCCTCGTGTTTTTGCACTAATTAGAGACATGTTCACACACAGGTCACTTCTTCTGTAACAAGCAGCTACACACTGGTAACGAGAAGAGACTCGCAGACCGATAAACATATTGAATGTATCCATGCAAATTTAGTGAGTAGTTGTACATGGCTTTGTGTGTTTAGCTACTGAATGTATTGTTCAAATGAACCTGAGATTGACATGCTAGTGAGGTGAGAAGATAGCAGTTGCAATAAAAAAAAACACAACAACTGTAATTTGCTATTTTAACACAGGGATGTATTATAATGTGGATTAGCCTAAACAAGATTCAGCCAATGTCTGAAGGGGTAAATTCAATCTCTAAACGTAATCTTACATGCATTTATGAAATCAAATATGTTGTATTTTAAAAAGGAGTGTCACAGAAAACAAACTAATGTTATTCAGTCTTCACCAGAATCCATTGTGTGTATCCTTGAGGTCTAACTAATGTGTTGAATGAATTTCCTTCTACACAGAACATTCGCAGAGCAGATTGTAATTTAAATCCAGCATTGTTTATGTCCATGTTTACTTGCTAGCAGTCTTCAAAATTCCCATAAGCAATAAAGAGCAGAAAACAAAAATAAGATGGACATTGCAACCTTATTAGTGAACATGTTTATAAAACAATGTCAATAAAAAAAATGACGTTAAGTGTGAAGAATACAGATTGTGTGTTAGAACCTTTAAAAATCAAAGGCAGGATCTGAACCAATAGTCTCGGTTGGCTTCCCAACAGTCATGCTGCAACTAATTAAACAACGAGTTGCTGTGAGAGCTCAGCAGACTGGCTTCATCTGCTGACCCCGTGTTCTCTCAGTATCGTTTCCCGAGAACATGACCCTTGACCTCTGTGGTCCAGACAACAAAACACATCAGAATGTACACAGAAGCCTTCTACTTATTAGTCTCAGACTGCCGTGTTAACAGAATAGTTACTAAAGTTAAGAGATTACAAGAATACTCAGCACAGTATTAGGAACTTTGGATATGTGGTAACTTACATTCCGTGTTATGTAGTTAGATTACATTCCGTGCTAAAACATCTTTTTACCGACAAGTATTTATGCTCCTGCAATTTTTTTAATTAGAGGTGTAATTTTACTATTCCTTTCAAACATCTTGCCCAAAATAAATAGTTGAAAAGAGATGTAAAAATGGGCAAAGTTTCATTAACATCCTCAATAATCATGATGTGTGGCAAACTTATCCATCTAATCCATTGCATAAATAAAGGGTCAGACATTATTTTTTGTGGTGTAGTGCAATGAAACTGAAAGGCTTGATAAACTACCTAACATGCTTTCATTTAAGAGTAGTTTGAGAGAAATGTTAGTGTTCTGCCATTTGTGATTTAATGCTGATGAATCCTTGATGTTAAATGTATAATAGTTCAACAATAATAAAATTAATTCTTTGTG